GAGTCTTTTTAACGGTATGAATCAATCTACACGTCTATTTGAATATTTGCACTGGTTTACTTCTAACATTCAGTCTGTTAAAAAACTCAAGGATACATCGTTTATTTTAAAAAGAAAAGTGTGTCAACTCTTAAATATGATGAGTGCAAACTAATGAGGAAACTGCTCCGTCAAGTTCGCATAAACGCACTTATTTGGTCTCGTTCATAAAATATTCAACGCGTACAGATGTTTTCTATGACGCATGCATTATTCAACCCTTACGGGTTTTTGCTTATAAAATATACAAAGAACCAAAAGCTGGGTGTTCTTTGCACTCTCCAGACAAAACCCCCTCGAGGCGACGAAGGAAGCAGCGACATGTCTGAGACGCCGTGTGTGTGTGTGTGTGTGTGTGTGTGTGTGTGTGTGTGTGTGTGTGTGTGTGTGTGTGTGTGCACTCCACTTCCTCCGGCTGCTTTCCCACTTGCACTTAGGAAGCTGCTGAAGACGACAGGTCAGAAAACCACAAAGAGAAAAAGAGCGTGTGTGTGTGTGTGTGTGTGTGTGTGTGCGTGTGTGTGCGCTGATCCATCAGAGACAACATCTCCTGCGATCTGAACTTCCTGTCTTGGCGGACCGCTCACCTCGGGGACGGCGACGAGCAAAGTATCGGCGGCTGAGGCGGCAGATGTCTGCAGACGTCACGGCCTTCCAGCCAGACGGAGTTTGACCCCGCTTTTCAATCCAAATGCCGTCGCGCGCGTGAACACCGGCGGCGATGTGACGCGGCCTCAATCCCCGCTGCCCGTCCGCTGCGTCAGGTGTCATCCCTTCACGAGATTGAAATATAATCCTTCATACCTCAGGAGATCCGTCCGCTCAGCAGACTTATTGATCTGGCTTCCTAAAGAGTGACCCGCGTGAATAAATATCCGCTTCTCCAAAAGGCCTCTGTGCTCAGCGGGGTGGGGGGGTCACTCACGACTTCTCTCAAGCTAAACTCTGCGGTTCATTCCTCTTCTGAGAATATTTAGGACAAGTCTGGGTTTATATCTTAATGCCTTTATGCCCCCATCTTAAAGTTTAAATGATTTAAATGAGGAGTTGTGAGAGTTTGTAAATGGATGTTTGTAAGCAGCTCCATCTACCTCAATCCATCGAGACGAGAGCAACAACGTTTCACTATGAATTCTTCATCACGAAGCGAACACGGCCTCTGTGGTTTATATCGAGTATCACTTTCAAAATCTTAAAATTACTTTCCCACATTGGCTTGGTAACTCGATTAATTGCCGACAAATTGAGTGTGATTTTTAGTGATTTAGGATAATAAAGTCTTACAGTCTCCATCAAGTCGTAAAAACTCAAGCTTTTATTTTGAAATAAAAGAAAACTCTCCGCGAGAACTTGAAAATACGTCATCCTGGACTTGGTCTCCGCCCACCAGGTGGCCACGGCGCCGCAATCTGAACTTCCTTGTTCTGCTCGCTTCCAACTGGGAAAACAGTGCAAAGCGGGTTTAAAGTGTTTTGGGCCCAGATTTACTTCAATGCAGCAGCGAGTCGTGCGAGTCGCCTCCTGTGGAGTCTATAGGGCCCAGAAGCCTGAGTGCAATGCATCCTGGGACACTCTCAATTGACTACACTTACCCTCAGCCCTGATTGGACGACCTACACAAAAAGCGGGTGAATGTTCCCCGTGAAGCGGAGCGTGATCGCTTGAGTGAAGCGTAATTAAAACAGGTTTGGTGATTATTAGCAGACCGAACTCCTGTCAGTAAAACGACAAACCGACCAGCGATCATATTCAGCCTTGAATGTTGCTGCAACAAATAACATTTCTGAACTATTGTTTGCATCTTTTTCTGGCATTTAATATCACACATTAAATCCAACCCAATCAAAGCTCGGCAACAAGGAGCTGCAGCTTGTATTTGGCTCTTTGATGGAGCAGCAGTTTGGTGCACGATGCAGCAACTCTCAGCCAGTCAGCTGCAGAAACACTTTGTAAATAATACATGTGTGCACTGTAAACAAGTGTCTTTTCCTTATATTGCTGATGGATACATGCCCTGCAAACAACCCGTTCTCTTTGAGTTTCCTTGCCACATCATATTGTATCTCTCTAACGGGTCTGAGTGGATTTCTCGCCTCACGAAGCATCTTTTTTTTTTTTTGGAATATTTTAAAGTGTGAAATGTTTGCTTTGGCCAGTAGTCTCATTTCTTTTGCCACCAACTGTTTGTGTAAGAAATGTCCCGTGAGGCCCATCTTCCTGCCTGCAGAGGACATGTGGACGTTGCCCGTGAAGACGAAACAACGTGCTGCGCCTTAGTGGACAACGCCTTTAAAAAAGGTACAAATATGCAACAAAATGAGACATTCAAGCTCCCTTTCTTCATCAACAGCAACGCTGGAAAAAGAAAGCTGGATTGGTTTGCGGATTACGGACCAACTGGGGGAAAGAAGGGAGATTTTGTTCACCAAATTCTTTGTCTGAGTGATGCAAAAAAAAAGGTATGAATGTGTGACTGAAGGCAAAGGAAGGTGGATGAATCCCAAGCGGACCGGAGAGCATTGAGGCCCGAGAGGTGAGCGGTGACGTGTCGTCGGCTACGCGACAGCCGCCTGGATGCTAATCCGCCCGCCGCCGCCGCCGGCTTCTACCCCGGGGCGGGAAGGTAAAACCCGCTTGACAGACAACCGCCATTTTCTCTCTGCACGGACGGCGGGCGCGCTAGTTTTGTTTGCCGCACCCCCCCCCCCCCCCCGAGGCTGCTGGGACCCTTCCAGGCCGGAACATGTGGCAGGAAGCAGATCTGTGCAGGAGAGTCTGCAGCTTTGATGGGTTTGTTCAGCGCTCCGAGCGCAGCAGGAGCCGGGGAGGGCGAAGGGCTGCCAGCGGAGAAATCCGCCGCCGCGTTTGAAGGCGGAGGTTTAAAGCGCCGCGTTTGTTCAATTCTTTTCTTTGCAGACGTGTCGATCAAATCAAACGTCCACTCGGGTTGTTTAAACAGAGGTGTGATGGCGGGTTCAACTTCTTCATTCCTTCAGCCTCCTTCATCGCCCCCGTGGATGGTAATTAGCTGCAGATAATTAAATTTTGCCACCATCCGTTATCGTTTCACCTCTTGAGACGTGAGGCGGACGGCTAATTAAAACTGACGCTCTTGGTTTGAAAAGTTGAATAAAACCGCAGCCGTGGCTTCAGTTTTTATCCTGAGCATCTGCTGCAATGAAATGTACCTGTGAGATGAATGCTGCTGGTCTGAGATGTAATCTCATGAAAAGAGCAGCAGCGGGGATGAAAAAAACAAAAGCGGGACAAAAACAACTCGGGCATCTTCCCTCTGAAAAGCCGAGCCGAGGCCCCTTTCATCCTGAACCAGTGAAGACGTCAGAAGCAATGAAGGAACAGAGAAAGGGCTTCGTTCCAGAAGTCCTCCTTCTCCATCCGGGACGACGCTCGGAAAACAAGGAAGGAAACTTCCACAGCAAGAAACGGGAGGCGAGTCCCTCTCGTCCAGGTGTCTCCAGGGGGACAGTGTGTCTGTGTCGGAGTGTCACGGCTCTTTGTCAATATGTTCTGTCCCCTGCTTCGGCAGACAGAGCAATGTGCGTCAACAATGACAACACAAACATTGTGTACTAGCTGCGAGTGTGTTTGTCCCCATGAGCGAGCAGCACAAATATCTATTATTAAATTCTCCTGGTGGAGAACGAGAGGCGGCAACCATCGACTCAGCGGCCGCGATAGTTTCTTCTGTGGAGCGTAAATGTGGGTTTAATACTAATAATTCACCTTCAGGGTGTCTGATCGGCTCAAAGCATAAAAGCTTTTTATTTTCCAAACTATTTACAACGACTAAAAGGTGAGAAAACTTCTCACGATGACGGATGACTGACAGTTTGAGTGTCATTGTTTTGAATGCTTATAGAACAATGAGTGAATCGATGCTTCAATCACTTAAAACTCGTAGGATTTGGATATTTTCTTTATCAAAGGTTTGGTCTGGAATCTACTCGATGAAGCGGACGACCACATGATACGAATCAACGCGTTGGCGTTTTATTACCGTCGGTTGACGTGTTGTTTTTTGTCGCGTTCTGTCCGGCTGTCAATCACCGACCAGCAGCCTCCGTCAGCGCTGCGGGCGATGCTGATGGAGGCCGACGTTTGTGTACAAACACGGAGGAGTGAGGCGTCACGGCCGGGGTCAACGGCACTCTGCTCGCCACGAACCGCCGTGATGGATCGCCGTGCGTGTGTGCGCGTGCACAACAGGCCGATGACCAATGTCTCATTGTAAAAAGCTCCTTGATTTTAATAATTCACAGCCAATAATGTTCTGACTAGTAACAATTCTGATTAAACGATCTCTCACTAGACTAGCATTCCTGCTAACAACTGGATTTATACTGAATCCTTTTTTGCATGTATTGAAAAAGAAGAATCAGACATCATTGTTTCACAGTCAATCTTAAATCAACATTGCAACTCTTCATTTGTCGTCACGTGCAAATGTAATTTCCGCTGAGTCAATTTTGTTTGATTTACTTCTCAACCACGTAAATCCACACAATCCACAAAGCGCGTAAAAATCAGACGCCGAAGCCCTCGGATCCACGCAGGAAAACAAAAGCTGCAGACGTCTGGCAAAAGAGAAAAAAAACTATAAAGACAAGAACGCTCGTGCAAAGCTCAGGCCGCAGCAGAACGCTGCATAGTCAAAGCATAACGAAAACCAAACAAGGAGGCCGGGTGGAGGAGAGGTGGAGGCCAAATCACCAGGAGACCTAATCACTGCTCCGCTTTAACGAGCTAAACGCTGGAGAACGAGGTCGGCGGGCGGAGCAACGCGGCCACGTGCTCTCTGCTGCTGCATGCCGACGTAAATCATCGCCCAAAAAAAACCCCAAAAAGATCAAACGGGTGTTTCTTATTTAAGTAATAAATAAAAGCTAATTTATGGACGCTTGAATGAAATAATATATCTTGTGTGTTATTCAAACACCAAATTGTTAAAATTAGCTTTTATTGACTTTCGAAGGGCGCTGCCCCCTGCTGGCGGTGGGAGAGATTGCAGGATCCATGTGCTGATTTTAAATGGACTTAAATCCGAACCTGTTATTTGTTCTTCAATATTCCGACTCTGGCTTCATAAACCAGGTAAACTATTTGCAAAACACACCAACAAACTACTTTTTTTTTTTTTTTTTTTAAAAGGATCCCAGAAACTACTTTGGGGAGAGAAAAATGTCGGCTGCATGATGTAAAAAGTTTGACTTCTCCACAATGACAGTGATATCTCCGTGACAGATGTGTCCCAGTGTGCGACGTTAAAAAAAGCTTTTAGCTTCCTCCGTGCAGCAGTTTGGACTCATGTGGCCAAGAAATGTGTCATTCAGGTCACTTTTACTTCAAAGGGTGCGCGCTTTAGCAGCAGCCAAGTTTTAAATTAAAAACATGACAGAAAAAGCTCACAAATACATTTTCAAAATTTCTGACTTTTTTTTTTTGTTGTGATGGGATTTTAAAATGGCCTGGAAGAAAAAAAATCATTTTTTTGGGCCTTTATCAAAAAAGTTCTTCATACATTTTTGGAAGTTATGACTTTAAACAGGAGGTAAAAAAAATATTTAAAAAATGTGCATTCCCTCTCAAGCTCAGAAGCTGGACGTGAAAAGTGAGCGGATTACATTTTTGATTGATGCATCGTTCTGCGCGGAGAGAGAGAGAGAGAGAGAGGTGGACGTGAAAAACAGCAAACAAATTCCCCGTTAATTAGCATCCCTCTCCTCCCCCGCGACGCAAACAACGCGGCGCCCCGAAGACGCAGAAGCAAACAGGGACGAGGCGGCGAGCTCGCTCACTTCAGCCTGCTCATCTGCGCTAAATCAGCGGCAGGCGGCGAGAAAACAAGACTGAGCTGTGGGATTAAAAGCAAATCAGAGGGAGAGGTGGGAAGCTGGGGGAAGGCAAACAGAGGGGGGGAGGGTGGGGGGGGGTGACAGAAGAGAGCGGGGCAGATGGAGGTACAGAGCATTATGAGTGAGAGTGACAGGAGAGCGTGAGGAGAAGAGTGAATGGGTGGGATGTGAGGGACTAAAAAAGTGGAGAGAGATGAGAGGAGCAGCACATAGAAGGGAGTGAGGGGGGCGGGGCTACGGGGGGGCAGGTCGCAGGTCACCAGCGCTGCGTGTGAGCGAGCCAATCGACACCGTTATGTACGCAACGTGATCGTATCGGCATAAATAAATGCAAAGATGGTTCAGATCTGGATCCATAGGAGGCCGGCGGCCCACGTTCCTCCTCGCGGGATCCACGGGAGGAAAAACGCTGCGTGGCGCCTGAAATAGTCAATAACACAATCAGGGAAGCTGCCGCGGTTCAGGGATTCCTCGCAGCTCGCCTGCGACTTTTCAAAGCAACACTTTGCTCCGGCAAAGATGCTCGAGGAACGTACGCGGAATTCTATTCGGGGTCCAAGAGTCCCCGAAGAAACGCCTGGCAGGAACCGCGGAGGAACGCAAAGGGCGAAAAACGGACATCAAACACGAGTTGATCTCGTTCTATCTCTGGAATCAGCGGCGGCGGCGGCAGGACGCGCGGTTGACTTCAAAAGTCCAGAGTACTCTGGAACCGCCGGGTGACGTCAGAGAGACGCTCAGGGCGAATCACTCGCTCATTGTGTCGCCCCGTACGGCGTCACTGCGTTACAGGAACATGGAAGTGAAAGGAAAACAAATCACGTCAGAATGAGAAGAATAACAAGTGGGACGCAGCTTTTCAGCGCCGATGCAGAACACAACCGGGGGTCCGATTGTTTTTCAGCACAGTGCCGCCTTTTCATTTCCCGTCGGACAGGTTTCTCTCCGGGTGTCTGAGGGTCTCGCTACCGATATTTGCCCCTCAGCTGGGCAGAACAGGAGGACGACGAGCAGATACAGAGAACTTAACCAAGTGAGACTAGAAGAGCTGAGGCGAACGCCTGCTAGCCGCTAAGCTAATTCAAGCCTTTCAGCGTGTGTCTGACAGTCGCTACGCGAAAAAAAAGTAGGAAATGGACGCACACTTGTAATACTACGCGGACGGATTCATGTGTTCATGAACTGTATTGAAACACCTTTGAACATTAAAACGATTGACGTTGATCCGACTGCTGCTGAAAAAACTGCAAAAGTAGAACATTTCTGCACGACGAGGAGGAGCAGATCACCAAAGAGTGTGTAAAGAAGCTTGTGTTTGAACGAACGCTCGAATGAAATAATATAGCAGTGTTTTTCTAATGCATCACATCTGTGAACCGCATGTGCGTGTGCATGTGCGTGTGCATGTGCGTGTGCGTGTGCATGTGCGCGTGGACAACTAACCAGCGCTGCAGAGCTTCTTCACTGTAATGACCCAGAGGAGCAGCTTGGCTGATCCATCAGCGCACACAAGACACACACCGCCACTTTCACACTGTCAACACCTCTGCGGCTTGGATTAATAGAATTGACGAGGTGGGGTTACGTGGGGGTCTCAGGGAGGGGGGGGGGGGGGGGGGCTGCTCACCTGAAGAAGGTGACAAAGAACTGCACCAGATCCATGAAGTTACTGTGCTGCGAGAAGGCGATCTGCAGAACAGAAGAAAGAGAGGGACAGAAGTCAGGACATTTAATGAGGGAGGTCAGCGTTAAACATTCATGCTCTGGAGAGGGGGAAGGGGAAGGGGGGGGGGTAGATAGTGCTGCTCTGCTCACAAAGGTCTGAGGCTTCACGAGTGCTCTCATGACTGTATGCACATACTACGGATAATATACGTGTATATATACACCAGTTGGTAAGGTGGAAGCAGCCGGGCGGGGAAAAAATCACTTAAAAAACAAAGTCTGGGCCGAACGTGAGAGCAGAAATATTCACTGTAATCATCGGATATCATGGGATATCGTTGGCAATTGTGCCAACGATATCCCATCTTAATCAGGGTTGCCAGGGGTAACAACAGCAGTGCTGTACCACCCCTCCTCCCCCTGATCATCTTCTTCTTCCTCCTTCTTTTATCCCTCCTCCTCCTCCTCCTCAGTCTTTCCACCCGCTCTAAAATGCCATGAAACACGTCCCTGCAACAGCGCACCACCGCCCCCCTCTGGCAGCACCGGGGTGCTGCACCTCCTGGTCCACAGCGTTTCCTAATGTACTGTTGAAGTCAGCACCATCTGGCTCACTAATGTGCTGCTGTTGATTACTGTTGAACGCTGTTGAGTCCTCGGAGTGATCATTTCTCTCCGGACTGTGAGAAAACTTCCCCGAGGTGTCAGCGGCCTGGATCTCATCGGGTGTGGATTTCATTCAGGTGCTTCTTTCTCACTCTTTGACATTACAATCCAACATAAGCGGGATTAAGTTGTTTTCATAAATCTACCTCCACGAAGCACTACTGAGAACAATACGTTTCTAAAGGTGTTGATTAGGCCCAGGCAGTAAGTCCTCAGAGCGGATCTTAGACAGGTTCCACAAAAATAAATAAAAAGGATGATCAGGGATGTGTGATCTGTAGGAGCCTTCAATTACAGTTCAGTCTGACTGTGACAACAGAAATAAACTGGTTAAGCCCATTTTCAATGTTCTGTCTATGATCTGATCGTTTGATTTGATTAGTTTGGTTTTGAACGGACATTCAGTTGTTTTCAGAGGATGAACCCGCCTGACCTCGCCCCTCCTCTACCAACTATCAGATGGATTCCCATGCACAACTTAAACGTGTTACATCTCATTTTGCATTTGCATTGATCTCATAATTCTACTAATCTCATCGGCGTCTTGTCTGCCGTTTAAATAACAAGCAGCTGTCTGATTTATGGCTGCCGCTGCACGCTCAGTCTGTGTTTCCTACCCTCCGTGTGTGTGTGTGATCAGTATCAACAGGGCCCATCAGGCAGCCATGCATGGCCCAGATAAACACTCCACAAGTCCACGCAGCGGCCCGGCTGATAGCTGCAGCTGCTGCTGCTGCAGCACAGCGGGGTATTAAATGTGAGGCTGTTCTAATCTCAGCGTATCATGACATGTTCACTAAGGCACGGAACAGGAGATCACAGCTCTTTAATGTAATTAGTCTGGGATTTGCGTTTCATTACAAACATCATTAAATTCAGATCCATTCTTCGTCGGGAGAAATACAAAATAAAACCGCGGCGGGGGAACTCCTCGCTGTTTGATGCAGCGAGCTGCTGGGCGGTGATGAAGCCGCCACAGAGCGCTCTTTGACCGTTCTGCAGGATCTCAATTTCGGGCGGGTCGAAATGACTCCGTCAAAGTGTTACTCTCAAGTTCCCCAAATTGAATTCGCTCGGTAGAAAATCGTGATGAATTCCCAGAACCGAGCGGTCGGGGAAAATTGGGGAGGGAAATAAGGCGCAGTGCTGACGGCCTGCACGATCACGCAGAGTCAAACACCAACAAATAACCACGCGAGGGCAAACAGAAGCCACCTTGAGGTGCCGGTGGAGGGAGTGAGGGGGGGGGGGAGGGCGAGATTTAGCTCGCCCTCTCGCCCTTCGGAAGGCAGGACGTTTTTCAATAGATCATGCCGTTGGTCTCTGTGTTCGGTCTGGTTCGTAAACCGCAAGCCGACATTTGTGAATGAACCCCCTGTTAAAGGCCGACGGCCCCCCCTATCAAGGACCCCTCGTCTCGAGTCCAACCCGATAAACACACACACACACACACATCCCAGAGCCAAACTGCAGTAGACCACTGAAGCAAAGAAGATCTGCGGAGGAGGAGCCGAGGCAGAAGGAGTAAAGGGGAGAGTGTTACCTCGCTGGCGAAGGTAAAGCTCCATGAGTGAGCGGAAGGTGAACGACGTGCTTCCGCTTCACCGAGAGGCGAGATCAGCTGTACGATCCCACCCGGGGGGCGGGGGGGAGGGGGGGCGGACGGACCGGAGGAGGAGGACTAGGACTCCCGGGGTCGGCTGCAGCTGGAGCTCTGAAGCTGAGAGGAGTGAAATCCCCCCACGAGGCAGGACGTGGAGGGATGGAGGCAGGAGTTTGCCTTCTCCCCCTCCAGGAGGAGGGGAAGGAGGAAGGAGCTTCTCACGGGGGTGCGGGGGGGGGAGCGGAGAGGCTCACAGAATGACATTCCAGGTTCCAGCGCGCCATCGTGCTCCTCAGAACCAGCACCAGCCAATCAGGGTGTTCATGTGTTCACAGTTTGCTCCTGCACTGAAAAGAACTGACAGCCACATCTCTACATACACACATGTGCATGGATGCATGTCATATTCTCCACCTCTGAAGCATCGGTACTCGTGCGTGTGCTCAGTTAGGACTGAATCGAGATCTTCTAGAGCTGTTGCAGCGAGTGCAGCGAGAGAGCGCGTTCCAAAAGAAGAGGCCGTTGTTGTCCACGTCCCGAGAGTAAAGAGCGCTTCATCGCGATTACAACAAACCACGCGCCAAAAGAGAAGGTCGATTTCTAATATTGTCCCAGAACGGCATGAAACGAGAGATCTTCGTGAGACAGTTATTTCTTCTCCAGGGGGGGGGGGGAAACTTCGTGGTCATTTTGCAGGCTGTGTTTGGCGGCGTCTCGATATCTGATACACACTAATATAAATGAAGTTCAGCTGAGCGGCGAATTCAATAATAAGAACCAGAAACAATATCCCGAGGAGGAGAGCGGACCGCTCCGGATGCCTGCGAGCGCTGGAGCGAGCATCTCCAGCTGTTGCACATCACAGGCCTACAGTGAGCAGAGGGCCGGGGGGGGTCGGGGGGTCAGCCACAGTGGGACACAGAGCCGCATTCAGGACTCCGGGGGCCACAGCAGCGCTGGAGGAGAATCTTTCCTTTCTCTTTTCCGCCCCGGTGACCGCCGACGTTTACGGACCACGTTTTCCCGCGAATGACAGTTGACAGTTAACAAATAAGTGAATTAAGCAAATCTGCTGCAACACCTGCAAGCGTATTCGTCTGCACGCACAGGAAAGCAACCTCGGGCCCCCGTGTGCAATTTTGTAGATGCTTTCATTCAAAGTGCATGACTGCATATTCTCAGCATAATTAAGGGCAGCGTGGTCTCCTTGGGCTCGTACGCGAGTAAATCCTGCTGTTATCATATTTCATGCTCCCTGGACTCCTACCACTTAAAGCAGCAGCACGATTTGCTGGTAGAAGGCAAATGTCGACATCGGCGCAGACCTGAATACTGTGAGACGCATCTGTCGCAATAGTTTGGCTCCATAAATAAATGAATGCAGAGAAAACAATTCCGGCTTTTCAACTCTCGTCTTCTGTAACGTCTCATTCGCGTCCGTTCATTCCAGTCACCGCCGACGTCGCCCGCGTCGTCAAAGCACAAAGCCTCCCATTTATAGATTCCAAGCGGCGGCTTTTCTTCCCCTGAATCAACACGCTGCCCGTCGGTGGAAGCCCAACCTCAGATGTCACAGCTGAATGTGTCTTTCCGTCGGTCAGAATTACATCCGGCCGGTCGAGACGAATCAAAAGCAGCACAAAGCCGCCTCTTCCTCGTGGGTTTCAGCTCGCTAAATTCTCTCCAGCTCTCCATAAATACATTCATCCCGAGCGCAGCTTCTTGTTGCTTTACGCAGCTCAACGGGACGCACGGCTGGACTCACCTGAATCTTCACGGGCCACGAGAAGTTGCTGACGTAGACGAAGAAGGTGATGTTCGGGCTGTTGCGGAAGTCAAAGTTCTCGTTGGAGAAGCTGTCTTTGAACTCCTTGATGTTGCTCCGGGAGACGATGGGGATCTCCTCCCCGGCCTGAGTGCCTGCTGAGAGACAAGCGGGAGGAGAAGGAAGAGGCCGGCGATCACAGAGCTGACGGGAGGAGGCCACGAGGTGGAGCAGGACGGATGGGAAGCTCCGTCCCACAAGAGTCTTTGTTTGATAATGAAAGACGCAGCCGATCATTTTCCTGTTGTGTTGAACTTATTTTGGGTGATTTACCGGTGAAGCTCGTGGCCCAGGTGATGTTCAGGTTGAAGTTCTTTGAGGCGTTTATGAACATGTCTAGATCCCGGTTTGGCTGAGGAGGGACAGAGGACACAGAAAGCAGACGGTCAAAAAAGCCTCCTTTCTTTCCTGTAAATACAGGGCACACATTCCCCCACGGACAGCTGTTTGCAGCTGTACAAACAGTTGCTATAGGACACATCTGCATTCAGACTTTGGTTTGAACAATTGCAAAGCATCTTGGCTAAACTTTAAAATCGCACCACATCATCACGTGGGAACATCTCACTACCTCACGTAGCGCCTCCTCTGAGGTAAATAGTGTTGGGGGGGAGGAGGGGGGATGTGGGGGGGAGATACCATCTGCAATATTTAATCCAATCCTCGTGCTTCTGTTTGGGCTCCAGATGTTGCAGCTGCGTGAACACGAGTGGAGCAGCTTCCATTTACAGGCAAACATCTGTGATGATGAGTGCAGTTCTGCCACTTATTTGATTTTTTAATTTTACTTTTATTTTATGTCCTATTATATACGACTTTTACTGTTGTACAGCAATGCTTTTGGGGGGGCGGGGGGGGCGGGGGGTGCTGTGCTATATTGCCTATGACTGTTCTTTAGTAGCTGGTTATGTTCTAATAAAAATGTCATGTTTAATTATGTGGTTGGACCTTTACATGTAATGGAAAATCTTTAGATCCAACGCTGATGACTGTTCCTACGCGACTTTATTGAACCGTTGATTAATCATTTTACATTCTTGTGTTCACTCCTGACACTTTCCTACTGTTTCATCACGACTTCATCGGAAACAACGGGACAAGCGCTGAGGCGATGAAGAAGGAGGAAAAGAAGAAGAGGAGGAGGAGGCTCATCGTCTTGGTCCTCTCCCCTCCCAGCAGAGGGGCGTACCTCCTCGGGCGTGGCCACGAAGTTGATGGCGGTGTAGTGGCGGTCGTCCTCCTGCGACAGGCTGAAGGTGAACTGGTAGTCGATGAGGAGCGTGTCTGCAGAGCGTGCAGGGGATCACAAAAGAAGAAGAAGGTCACACAAGGACAGGCGTCCGCTCAGCGATCGGGCCGATTTACAAGATCGAACTGTGACGTCTACGCTCGCTCCCCTTCAGCTCATTTTTATTACGGATTTATCGTTTGATCTGCAACAGAAGTAATTCAAAGGAAATGTCATTAAAGTAAAAAGGAATCATATATTAATTTACAACTGTTATAAATGTACTAAAAATTATCCAGTTATTTGGTGAATGAAATACAAATATTTTTATGGAAACTGATATTAAACGTAACGGATCAACAAGGCAGCAGCGTTTAAAAGCTTAAATGTGCTTCATCCTTCGTCTGGTTTCATCCGACCAACAAGAATCACCCAGAAATCGAAACTGAGATGGAGGGAGTTTCTTTCCGCGCGTCCTTTGATTTCCTTCCACCGCCGCTCATCCCATCGACCTCACGCCTGCCGGTCGCATCGCGGTGGACTCGGGGGGGTGTTCGGGTGTGAAGTTGTCTGGATTAGCGGCTCTGGAGAAAGCTGCGAGCAGCAACACCCTCGACCGAGCAATCCGGTAAACAGGAACAGAAACTTCAAAAACACCAGCGATAAGCAGCAGAAGGCTTGAAGCGGACCGGGCGGGACGTTCAGGGCTTCTTACTTACTTAAACAAAGTTAAAATAAACTGGGCTTCTTTTGGTTATTTATAGGTTGATTACAGATGGAGTTAAAAGCTGCATAAAACGACCCGAGATTTCAATCTTTCATTAACTTTCTGTCCACCGGCTGAACGATTAATCATGAAATGGTTTCAGCATGAACATTAATATTATGTTCCTAGTTGGGGGGGCTGTTTTTGTCCTCTCCTGCAGGCCACAAATCCTTCCGTACTCATCTGAAAACACAAGTGTTTATGGAGCAGGGAGGAGGACGTTGGTGGATGACAGCATGACAGCTGACAGGACCAATCAGCAGCGTCATCGCAGGACGGGGGGGCGGGAGCCTTTCAAGAACTATTACACTAAAAACTAATGACACACACACACACACCTTCACTGAGGTTGATAATTGGAATTCCACTTACAGTAGCATGTCCCTTTGAGGGGGTTGCCTTGGTAACGACTCTCGACTTCGCACCTTGGAGGAGGAGGAGGAGGGTCGGTGGAGGCAAATGAGGCGTAACATGAGGGGGAAAACACAGAAGAGGAGAGGGGGAGGAAGAAGAAAGGGCTAATTATGATGATTTAATTGCAGATAAAAAGGAGGTGGGAGTCTTCTCCTTCAGGCCCAACGAGACGCAGACGATGAAATATGGGAGCGAAGCTGACAGGCGCTTTCTGAGACTCAATTTCATACCGATGATTTGTGAAGCTTGTCTCTCAAGTTTTTAATGGGTTTTGAGACCTCTTATGGTAATGAAGGCCAGAGTTAAGATCACTAATGAACAGCTGCTATCTGCTGAATGCCAAAGAGAGAGAGAGGGGGGGGGGCGAGTCCCATAACATATTGGCATGTTCGTTTTCTACTTTTTCTAGACATAATTACTTTCTAAATCCCTTGGATTTAAATTGAAACTGAATCCCAAGTAAAGTTGTAAAGTCTGTGAATATTCCCTCTTCCCTCTGGGTAAAAATAAAACCCAAAAAGCTTCTTTTTGGATTGTCGACTTACATAAATCCTGTTCATGAACCAGATTCCAAAAAAGAATTTTCCCATATCGGTAACTAGGCGGATTTTTTATGAAATACATTCGAAAATAATTGTTTGGCATGAAAAGTGATTTGGGAGTTCTTTCCACTTCCAAACATTGTTCCTGAAGAAGGAAGCAGCAGGAAGTAAAATATAACAAAACATCCCGAAACATCCTTAAAACATTCCCCCCGGGGGGGGCGACTCACAGGTGGCAGCGGTCTCCTTTGATGCCCTTTGTGGTGCAGAAGCACTTCCCGTTGTTGGGGTTGCACACGCTGGCGTGGCCGTTGCACTTGCAGGCTGGAGACACATGGAAGCGCATCGGTAAGTAAAGGGCGGGGCGCGGGGCGCGGGCGGAACGGAGCCGCGGCGGCACTCACGCTGGCAGCCGCCCCCGTTGGTCGGGTCCCCGTAGAAGCCGGAGACGCAGCTCTCGCAGCTGCGGCCGGTGGTCAGGTCCTCGCACCGCTCGCACACGCTCTCGTTGACACACTGGCTGTGGCCGTTGCACTGGCAGGCTGTCGGGAGGGGGGGGGGGGGAAACACAGAGCAACGCGCTGCGTCAACGCGGCCGGAGGCGAGAGGTCGTGAGATGCACGAGAAGTCCTCGTGGGACAAACCGCTGGGTTTATTTTACTACGCAGGTCCATAACACCTGCAGCTCATTGGCATGAATCTCTAAGCTCGTAATGAGCAAGGGGAGCCTTCTTCAGGTATCACTTTCACTTGGTTGGAAGGGGAAGGATGGACTGACTCATTAGGAAGAGTGTAAAGCGGCCTTAGAAGGTTTTACAATGTGCACACACGAGTCCCTCACTCGGGGGGAGAAGCTTCTCCGCAGTGAGCCTCCATGAAGCTACCTGGGCAGTGGATGAAGGACCAGTTGTATCTGGCCTCGCCGGGGCACATGCTGGCGTTCAGGGCGGGCTGCGGGGCGGCGGGCAGGCCGGGCAGGGTGGAGGGGGCCGGCACCGCGGTCTGGAAGGGCCCGCGGTACGAGCCCTCGATGCACTGGCCCCGGCCCGTGTCGCTGGGGTCGGTGCACCACCCGCAGCCCGGCTGGTCCAGACAGTGGCCGCACGTCCGGTAGCCGGAGCAGTTCTCCGCTGCAGCAGAGAGAACACAGCGAGGGTCAGGAGGACTGAAAGGGTTCCATCAACACGTTGAGGCCGAGCGGGTTCGATAAAAAAAAGAAGGTCCTGGGGTTTAAATGAATAACAGACTCATTCCGGACCTTTTGGCCATGTTTTAAAGTCCTTACTCTGCGCCCTCGGGGGGGGTCTCTGCAAACGGCTGTTTTTTAATTGGCCTGCAGGGTCGAATAAATGGACACGAGTTCTCGCTGCGCCGTATGCAAAACAAAAAAAAGGTGGAAACTAAGTTATCAAACTACGAAACCAGATTATTAATCCCGCTCTCATCAACCGCAGGCGGCGCCGGTTAAACGCGGCTCGGTTTAAAAAGACGCTCCGCTCCAGAGACCCCCGTTGATTTAAAGCTTTGCCGCTTTCCTCTGAAGCCTGATTGCGATCTCTACACATGCTCACGCTGCGGAGGAAATTAACTGCAGCGGTTTATCCTCCCCCCCCCCATGAACGATCGCAAGGTTTCAACGCTGCGCCCTTTATTCATTTATTTCATCTTTATTTAACCAGATAATTCAAACGGCGCGAGAAATAAAACGAGCCGGTGCGCGCGGACTGAACAAGCGAGCGCGTTTCTGTGCGATCGATTCCACCGGGGACGCGAGGACGCGGCTGCGGAACCAACCGCGCAGGAAGGTTTCTCACGCGGAGGTGAGAGAACATCAACGGGTCGTATAGAACCCAATCAGATGCTCCACCGAGGAAACGAGCAACGTGCCGGCGATATCGATTTAGTGCGCAAACTGTCTCCTCCACGTATGAAGATACGGTTGCATGTTCAGCTGAATGTTTTGGTTTTCTACCCTTACGTCCTGCTCGGATATTCCTCCATAAACGATCAATGAATAAAACAAAATGAATAACTGCAGAAGGACAGAGACGTCTACAGCAACTACCCACAGGTTGTTTCACCTTCATTTATGTGTTCTAATATACGTTCAGAGGGGTTTCAATGTAATAACGGTGAAAAGGTTTTCCCGACTCGGCGGACGTCTTACGGGGACAGCTGTTCAGCGTGTACCACTCCATGCACTGTCCGTAGGGGAAGGAGGACACGTAGGCGTTGGAGTCGACGCACTGCTTCATGTTGCTGCACCACATGCACTCCGAGCTGCTGCCGGTGCACTCGCTGCAGGTGGCCCTCGAGGCGCACGGCGTCCGGCACTGCTTGGCGCTGTGGTTGGCTGCGGGGAGGGACGACATTTTGGAGATTCAATTGTGACGTCGTTCGAGAGACTTTGGATGCAAAGGAATCCCGACCACAGCTCACGCGTGCCGCTCATCGGTTTCGGGCGGCGCGCACCCACCTGGCCGCTCGCACAGGCTGCCGTTCACCGGGTTGATGCAGGTCTGCGCCTTCAGCCCGCTGGAGGCCGGCTCGGCCAGGTAGCCGCAGAAGCCGGCGTCGCTGGGCTCCCCGGGGAGCCACTGCAGGGAGGTGTTGGTGAAGGGCGACATGTCCTCCCAGCACCAGTACGACACGTTGATTTTCCGGAGCCCCACCCACGGCGTCACCGTGGCCTTGTACTGCGAACACACACAACAAAGAGGGACGCGTGGCGCTTAGAGTTCCCTCCCCGTCGCTCAGCAATGGTCACGCCGCTGCGGCCGCAGCAGGGAAAAGGGAGCTCGGGCTCTCTGGGATCACCGTCCCATCTGGGAATAGTTGGAAGTGAACAGCACAAACTGTGTGGATGTAAGATGTCAGGAAGAACCGCTTCCTCTTTTCTCGCAGTTAAAATTCAATCTGAATATTATTTGTTGAGTGGAAGCGTAATCCAACATTTGTCAGAAGCACCGGACAGTTCTAAGGTTGTAACCTGCTTTCCCGTAGTCCGACTACGGAGGCTAAAGCCGACGCGGAGCGTCTCCTCTCACGCGTTAGTCGATCGTTGCGATGGATTCTTTGCACGTTCGCTCTGATGGAGGAAAGAGTCCGTTAATGGAACGTTTGTTTTTCACGCTCACTGGTCCTAAAATCCCACGTGAAGAACGATCCGAAGAGAAAAAAACACTAAAACTGGTTTGTTTAATCCGCCTCAACATACGAGCCACAGAAGAGGCATTTTTATTCTTTTATCTCAATGACAATTCTTCTGTCTTGGTGTTTTTATCTATTTGATCTTCCGCGCTCTATTTGTGTTTGATATCTTTGCTGCTGGCGTGACGACTCCATTCCCCAGGAGCAGAATATTTAAGTGCATGAGATCTAACGATTAATATCCACACCTACTTCTTCCTCCTCCTCCTCCCGACTTACCACCACGCTCATTATCTGCAGCTCCTTCAGGACAAAGTCCACCTTCTTCTGCGTGGTCAGCGAGGCCAGGACGGCGTTGTGGCTCCTGCAGGCCAGCTTGGCGTTGTCGTACGAGTCCTTCGCCGTGATGACCTTCAAGCAGGAGTTGCCCACCAGGTGCCAGCTTTCCCCGCACACGTTTTCTGGACTGGAGAGAAGCAAAAAGGCACTTGTTGCTGAAGGTCTTTACTCACGTGTAGGTGTTTATTGGCATCACCGGGTCAACCCAGGATGGTCGTTACCTGGCAGCGAGATGCACTCCGAGCTGCGCGTGTCCCACTGGCAGTTCTGGTCCACAGAGCAGCTCTTGCAGCTGGTTTTCTTGTTGCACACGTACATGGGGTTGTCCTTGGGGCAAACGTCATAATCCCCTATGGCCCCCTGGGAAACAAAAAAACACAGGCGTCAACCAAAAGGGCCTCGGCAAAACGTGAGGTAGACGAACGGATCGCTGGTCGCGGCCTACGCTGACATGACCTTTGGCCTTGGTCACTTCTGCTCCAGATTGCTGCTTCCTCGTCTACCTGTGTGTGATGCTTCTGTGCTCGACTACTGTCTCTCATCCGGTGCTCCACTTACTCATGAAGCACAAATCAAACGTTACTCCGTTACAGTGAGAAGGTCACGAAATGTTCTCGCTTCGTGCAGCCCGGTGAAAAGCTTGAAGCCGTAAATGGGGGAGACCCGTTTCCTGTGTGGGGGTTACTGCGGAGACGAGGGCAGTTTGGAGTGCTGGAGGGGGGGGGGTTTCGTCCCTGCACAAAGAGCCCGCCCACCAACGGGACCCTTTACAGTGATGTGCGATGAGTCAGCGGTTCCTCACCATGGAAGAAGTGCAGTTGCTCCCCTGAGACAAACACTGGCTGGAGCACCACTGGCAGCCGTTGGTGTTGGCGGTGCAGCTGTAGCAGTCCGTGTGCTGGTCGCACCTCTCGTCCGCATCTGCTTAATTGTGAAGAGGCATTAGATCAAAGATCTTTTTTTTAACTAAAGATCGATAAAACAGGCAGAACTTATTTGCTCTCGGGAGTTGGCCGTTTACGCGACACCTGGGGGAAGTATTTGGATCCTTTTCCGCACCAGACTGCCAGCCGGCAGCCGAGAGGAACGGCCTCGCTGGTATTAAACGCGGCCGATGGATATTCTGGAGCACAGTTTCCATCTGCCGGCGCTTCTGGAAGAGCCGACAGAGGAAAGCGAGAGCGTCCGCGGGGGGGTGGGGGGCAAAAAGAAGAGAATTGCCGAAGCTGATAAAACGCGTGAGGCCGGTCCGAGCCTTTTTGATCCTCATGTGGAGTCTGTTTCATAGTAAAACAGATTGAAATGAAGGAGGATACGTAAAAAGGCCATAAATAAATAAGTATAAAAATATATTACTCATCCACGCAAACAAACGCATCAAAGGCCGTTAAAACCGTCTCTGCACTCGGGTCATTCAGAAGCGTGTCAGCTGCCCCGCATGTTCAAGCCCCCTCTGAGACGCAGGGCATCATAACATCAGTAATCGCCGCCGCGGATCCAGACGACCTCTTCAGCAGATGGAATGAAGAAAAGGAAAAAGGGGGGGACCGCGGATGGGAGAAGATCCCGGAGTAGTTTCAGGCTGCGCGTCACCTACACGATCGGGTGTTGCAGGAGGCCGGCTGCTCCCCCCCTCCGACAGCGTCCCCCTCCCAGGGCAGGCAGCTGCCCCGGGTGTCGTTCCAGACGCAGTGGATCCCCGGCCAGGCCCGGCCGCAGGCCTCCGGGCCGGAGAAGGCGGCGCAGCTGGGCGAGGTGTACGCCAGGACGTCGCCGAGCAGCAGGCTGTTGAAGCCGCCGAACACGTACATCACGCTGGTGGGGGGGGGAGAGGGGAGACGTTAGAGGGCTACAACGAGGTGGCGGGTGGAGGGGGGGGGCATTCAGGAGGTAAAAATTCTTCTTCTCTGAGCTTCAAGCCGCCGAGCAAGGCTGCTAAATCCCCAACCAGCGATATCTTCCTGTCGGACGGCGCTGGCAGCCCCCCCCCCTGCTGTGTGTGTGTGTGTGTGTGTGTGTGTTTTGGCCGCCAGGGATAAGTGTGACGGTCCTGGTGAAGGCTTAAATGGTTCATCGTGATCCACCCCCCCCCCCCCCCCCTCAGATCACACATCAAAAGGCTGCTCCGGGTGTCCCGCTGAGGGCTCAGATCATTGGCGGGGGAGGCGGGGCCAAACCGCGGGGAGCTTTAAAGGCATATAAGAGTAAAAACTAAAGTCTAAAACGGGGGTAAAGTTCTGTTTGACTAGATAAGAGAACCTTCCACATTCAACCCAAAAGAACCTTTTCACAGTTCTAAATTGTGACCAATTCTGCAGGTTGCGTATTCTATCACTTTGTATGTGAAACAAAGCCGGTGAAGGAATCTGCATCAAATCACTGGAACAACGTCCAGAGGAAGAGGAGGAGCCATCAGTGAGGATCGCTGTTAGTATTTGTTAACGGGATGAAGAATGTCAGACAAAACGCCGCGATGAGTCATCGCCGGGTGCGACGTCAGACGTCATGCGCGGATCACGCGTATTTACAATGTCTTTGTTTTCGGCCTCATTCCTTCCGTGAACACGATCACCTGTCACTGACGACGGCCGAGTGTCCGAAGCGGTTGAGGTCGTGGTGGAGGTCCGGCCGAGGCAGCGTCGTCCACTCGTCGCACGCTGCAACCACAACAAGAGCGGTCAGAACATCAGCCTGCACAACTGCGCTGAGTGGTCGTCGCTCTGCAGCTACTTAGTGTCACTTCATATTCATTTTGTGTCTCTCTGCAGTTACTTTATATTCATTGTGTATCTCTCTGCAGTTACTTTGTGTCACTTTATCATTTTGTGGAAACACCTTTATAGATGCTCTGTGAAGTTATTTTGTGTCTCCTCGTTGTTCTTTACCACTTTTTGGAGTGGCGTATTTTAGGGCCCTCAGGTCCCTCTCGGTGGGTTTGAGTGGTCGTAATCAGCTGAAGCTTAGTAAAGGACTAAAAGGATGTTGTCTGGTTGTGGTTCTCTCTACAATCACGACTTTAGTATGCACACAGTTGGTTAGTCAGCAGCACATATGATCTGTCTGTTGGAAAAATGTCCCAGTTAAACTTGTGGGCTTATATCATATAAATATTTGAAGCTTGCAGACTTATTCCTGCATTAGGACCGTCAGTATTTATTGATATATATATATATATATATTATATTATATGTATATATTACACACACATTTGTGATAAATAAGAATCCCCCATGAACATTGATTAGGTCATTGATGGAAATCTTTGGTCGGTTGTGATTTAGAACTCAGCTCACTGAGATGAAAGGATTTGAAAGGAGACGGATGTGCATACGGGAGTCAGATTTAAATCGAACCCCGTTGAACGCAGTGGTTCCTGTTTCCACGTCCAACTTTTTCACTATTGGAGTGAAAGAGTTAGAGGACCATCTCAACTACCTGAAGCGGGTCATCGCCATGTAGGGGGGGGGGGGGGGAGACCGGCGCTCACGCGCGGGCGCACAGCGCCATCTGGTGGCAGCGCCGGTACTACAGGGGGAGCGAAGGGGAGGATTTATTATGACACCGTCTCCCAATGTCAGGACAGAAAACGCCCCTTAAGCTATAACGGAGTTCGCTTGTAGGGGGGGGGGGGGGGGTGATTAGTCCTGGACGCCAGCCCATCGCTCTGTAATTACCAGAGAATTAGAGCCGGCCGGTGCAGGTGAGGAAAATAGTCTACTGGTCTTTTTTGTTTTGTTGTGTCCAATTAAAGAATCCTGCAGAGGAGGAGCGGCGAGGACAGACGGGGGAGGGAGACAAGACTTTTTAATAGTTTCTAATTCCTTAAGTTTCATCTCAAATGTGAAGTCTCCGGGGAAATCACAAGCGCAAATTTGTTTCCCGCGGCGTGAGATGAGTTTAGTCTCACTATGCCAATCAAGGGAGGACATGTGGTGAATGCAGAAAGGGGGGGGGAGTCAGATCGATGTGCTCTCGTCACCCCGGCACCACGGAGCCCAAACCCTGAGGACGACTCGGCCCCAACCAGCCAGTTGCAGAGGGGGGGGTATTGCAATATTTCCGCCTGTCAATCACCATCGTAATGAGACAGAAATAGCAGAACGTCCTGAGGACCCGCAGCCCGCAGGGAGTCGTCCCCCCCCCCCCCCCCTCCCGTCCAGACGGGCCGGAGCCTCCCGTTAATGAGCAGCTTACCGCCGCGGCACTCAATCTACGGCAATAAATGGCAGGCGGGCCAAACAAAACGAGGACGTCAGCGCGGTTTCTGACGGAGCCCCGCCCACTTCTATCAGGGCGGTAATTAGAATGCAAAAATAAATAGAGAAACAGGCACTACAGCCGCCAGCCGCCAGCTTCCGATGATCTTATTTAACCAGAAGATGTATTTTCTCTCACGAAATCTAATCTGCTAATTTCTTCCCCCTGGAGTCTTTGCTTTGAGCCGCTAATGTGAATGAAACGCAGATAGAGGAACTAATGAAATCATGTGCTGGAACTTGCTCACAGTGGCATTTGGTTTTTAAGATACTCGGTAATACGTTTTTTTGGGGGGGGTTTAAGTGACTAGCCGTGATCACATTTAAGGGAATAAGCGGTTCACTTTTATCTTTTATTAATTTTCACTCACAGAGCTTAACGAACATAAAAATAAATATATTGTCTTTCAACAGATTCATATTTAATCCTATTTGGAGATATCATGGCACACAATTACGTTGCTTGAATCTAACTAACTTTCGTGATGAGAGGATTAAACGTACATGTGTCAAGTTTTTAATTAATCCAAAACGTGGTTGTTTGATAAAGAGAATGAATTCATTTAACCAGCAGGAAACCGGCTGTATCGGAGGACTGACATTAGAGAACCCTTTGGGCACAACGTCTGGATTTGAACCTACTGACCCAGACTGTAGGCCAGGAAGTCGGAGGAGAAGCACTTGGCGCCGTTGCTGGCCGACGTGTCGTTGTGGGTGTTCCCTCCGAACACCAGCATGGCGCCGCTCACCATCACCGCCGTGTGGAGGTACCGGAAGAAGCCGCTGTCTCTCAGGATCGTCCTGCAGGCGCGATCACAGCAAGTGGTTTGTCCTCCTCGTTGTTCGCACACACAATAAGGGTTAGACGTCGGACGGACACGCGGCCCCTCACCACTTCCTCCGGTCCACGTGGAACTTGTACAGGTCCCCGGCGAGGCCGTACTTGTTGGCGTTGAAGGCCTTGTAGCCCCCGTTGACGTAGATGCCTCTGGTGCCGGGGTCGAAGACGCTGCTGTGGCCGTAGCCGCCCTGAACCCAGGGCCCCGTCCGTGGGCACCACGCTCCACGTGTTCGTGGCTGGAGGTCCAGGGAAAGGGGTCGTTTACTGGGGGCAGCAGACACCGAAACACAGAAAAGGGCTCCGCGCCGACCTACCGATGTCGTACTCCTGCACCTGGCTGACGTAGCCGTACAGGGGACAGTGTCCGAACACCACCAGCATGACGGGGCCGTCGCCGTCCCGGAGGGGGGGCACGACGTGGGCCGAGTGTCCCACCACGGCGTACTGCTCCTTGGCCCGGGGGCTCAGGAGCACCCAGGTCTGGTTCTGGATGTGGAAAACCCACAGCTGGCTGGACACGTTTCCCGTGGAGTCCATCTTCCCTCCGTACATGTAGATTTTACCCTGGACGAGGATTAGAAAGGTAGAAATGTTCCAAACATCAGCCCACAGCTGGAGACACTTTGTGCCTCCTGGTGATCAAACCGGAGCCTCAGATCCACTGAGGGAACATCAGCAAACCTCCCAGAATCTGCAACGACGACCTTCAGTACGTCCTTGAGATTTGAATAAAAGCCCCAGATGAGAAGGACCTTCCCCGGTGGCAGAGCTGGAGGTCACACATCGTGTCCTCCAGCTCTTCACGTGTGTAGTATTCAACAGGGAGATGGAAACCGAGGGGTCGGCACAAGCAGCTAATTCCTTTCTTCGGTTTCAAGTCAGCCGAATCTTAATGCTTTTATTTGATCGTGAAAAGGATTGTTGGTTTTCCGTTAGTGGTTTCAGGACGGAGACGCAGTAGTTATATAAGGGAGTATAGAACATGCAGTCTGATAAAAGTTTTATGTTATCTAATATTGACTGATATTTCAGCTTCAATATAACGGAAATGTATTTTTTTTATGCATTACTGCTGAAGCTCCCAGATGACCTCCCGTCTTTTATCATTGCTGTCCAGTGGGATCCAGTCACCATCCACCAGTGCAGATCCTCCAGCGAGTCGCTGAGCACCGGAAATGTACCGTGTGTTGGCGCCACGTACCTCGTGGAGAGCCAGTGAGTGGCCGTACCGCGGGGTGACGGTGTGGACGGAGGGGTCGAGGGTCAGCCAGCTCTTGCTGCTGATGTTGTACCTAGAAAAAGAAAAGAGGAAGGTGAGACGACGGAACTATTCAGCCAACGTTGCTTTGGTCCCCTGAAGGTGACGGATGGTCGAATAGTCTCAGCTCTCCAGCAGCTCTAACCAAGACGTGCAGGTGACAAACAGAAGCTGTGCCCGTCTGGCCGAATGCTCCTGTGTGATCTATGGAAGGGAAATAAACTAAACATGAGCCAAAGGCAGGCGGCTGGAGGGGGGTCGTGCTGGGTGGAGTTGAGGGTGAAGCACATCGGCTCATCCTGTAATTTGACGGTTTTAATCACGTCCTTCGGTCTGTGCAGCTATGATTCAGCGCTCCGTGCACAGAGGCCACACCGGGGGACGGGGGACGGGGGGGGGGACAAATCGTCCCCTTTGTATGCTGGCAAAACACATTTGGTCTCCATGCACTTTGACAAAACGACACTTGTGTTAGTGGAATGTGGATAAATCAGGAGCCGTAGATAAACCACTGAATTGATCACGGGACAAGCCCCCCCCCCGCCGCCGCTGGATCTCAAGAGTGCGGCGGGAGACGGGTTTGAAAGCAGAGGGATGAGGGAGCGGGGGGGGGGCACTCACGCTTTGACCATGTGATAATCGGAGGAGTTGAAGACGTAGCCCCCGATGACCCACATGAGGCCCTGGTCCACCACGGCCTTGTGGGAAGCTCTGGCCAGCCCGGCGTCGGTGTGCTCCTCCCGGCTCCAGAAGGACGAGTTGGCCGGCACGGAGACGAGGCAGTCCGGACCTGGGGGGGGTCGGGGGGGGGGGGGGGGGTTGCACTTATGTATGATTAACACGATAAAAGCTTCGGCCTTTTAGGGAACAACACCGTCTTTAATCTGATTAAACAAAGAGAATCAGCATAAAAGGAAGAAGAAGAAGGAAGAAGAGTTTTATGAGGGTCAAACTTCAAACTTTAATGTCCTGCTGACAAGAAGAGGGTTTAGAATCTCGGGCATTGCTTCTTACGTCTCTTATGTGATGAAAAAATACACACAATCAATTATTGTGTTACAGAAGGGAGCTTCAGAAGGCTTTTAAAAACCTCGATTACTGAGTAATAAAGAAGCTGTGGGGTAATTCAGCAAAGGTTTCAGGAAAGTAGTTCCTCATTAGTGTAACCGTGACTTCCCTTATGAGCGTTTCTGTCGGAGGCGTGACTGACTTAAGAGACTCTTTCCTTCCTGAGAGCAACGAGCTCAAACCAGGAAGAACACAGAGCTGCTTCGACCTGCTTGGTGCAGAAAACCACTTCTAAAAGTTCATCTGAGGCCCGTTGGATTACAGAAGAAGAGGCTTCCTCATCTCATGTTTAACAATTTAAAACAGCTTAAAAACAGGCGAGGTGAAATGATTTCTCGTTTCTTTCATTTTTTTAAGATAAAAAACAAACAAACAAAACACTTCAGTTCTGGTGCTTTGTGTAAAACTGACGTCACCACGACGAAGCACGACGGTCAGCATGAACGCGCTCTCTCACTTACCGGCCGACGCATCGCCGTCAGCAGAAGCTGATCCAGCTCATCGTTAAAACCTGCTTCTTACCCTAATTACCCCCCCCCCCCCCCTACTCCGGGCCCTAAAGAGGCCTCAGTTACACATTAGCTCGGCCCTCCTGCACCACTCACAGAACCAACAGCCCGTGTTTGCGTACTGCGGCATCTAATCTTAAAAACTTTTTGGAGCTGGTAACAAATAAAGTTACCCTGACCGCCCCCCCCCCCCCTCCCCCACACACCCACCTTGCCACCCGTCCTTGCAGACGCAGGTCTTGCCCTGGCAGCGGCCTCGCTGCGGGTAGCCGCAGTCGGCCGCGCAGTACGGGACGTCCCAGGCTTCGCCCTTCCACTTGTCGTCGCAGGCGCAGCGCACCGAGCCGGGGGCGTTGCCCACGCGGCACTCGCCACGGCCCGAGCAGTTGTTGGGACATGCGTTCACCTTGTGGGGGGGGGGGGGGAGAAAATACGGGCGAGTGAGAAACAAGGAGTTGTGAAATACAGACTGAATAAAACATCAGGGGTGTGTGTCAACCACAGTGGCTCTCAGGTAAAAACGAATGAATAAATAAAAAGCAAACCTCTGTCTAACAGGCGTGAAGAGACGCGGCCTGATTTATTCACCTTTACAGCGACGCTGTGAATCCACGAGGGTCTATGGAGCAACCAACAGACTGAAGTAACGCCCGTCTCATTGAGGGCTGCTTAGCTCGGAAGAAAGCCTCTAATGTGTGTGTGTAGCCATAAAAAATAAAAAAATAAACACGTATGGCCAAGCAGCGAGCGAGCTGGAGGCGGAGCTCGCTGGCAGACGCCAGGGTCACTGCGGGGCACAGAGGAGCAGATGGTGAAGTGCAAAGCGGCACTGACGATGCTCTCGTCGTCTCCTTGTCTCCTTCCTGCCCTCCTTGTCTCCTCGTCTCTCATCGTTGGCACACGGCGGACGCGACGTGTCACCGTGCAAACCCTGCGGGTCTGTACGTATTTAAGAACATCAGTTTTTTTTTAATCCTTTTAGACCTACTGGAGAGAGCGAGAAGTACAAACGTCTGCATGAGAGTCCAGCGGCTTCGTGGTTTTGGTGTCTCGGGGCTCCTCCACCTCCCGGGACACCAAAGGCCGTGTGGGAGAAAGTGACGCCCTTTTTTCCTTTGAAACTCAACCGTCCTTCCGGGACGTTTCCTGATGAAACACGGCGTTGTGCCTCGCTCACCTGTAGGAAATGTTGAAGCCGGTCAGGTTGTAGGCGGCGTCGCTGAAGAAGTGCAGCAGGGCGTAGCCGGACTGGGAAACCACCTCGGGCACCGTCTCGTTCCCGTAACGCTCGGGAACGATCAGACCGCTGCAACCACGAGAAGGTCAATTTAGCACATCCGGTGACCACCGTTCATGAAGCGAAGCGCACGTGGAGGTCCTCGGTGCCAACACGTGGCGCTTCCGATGGTGCTTTTCTCCTCCACCCGGAGAGACGCGAGTGCGCACCTGAAGGCGGCGAGCAGCGGGGCGTAGATGGAGTCTCCGTCGTACACGTACAGGTGGTCCCAGCTGCATTCTGTGGCAAAGTGGTTGAAGCGAAGTCTGAGGACGGTGTTCGGCCTGGAGAGAGAAAACACACACGTTTGTTGAGATTGTGCCGTTGTGACAAAACAACAATATGACGAGTGTCAGCGTCTCGCCGGCCTCCAGGGACCTCGTTACGTTACCAGCAGAATAAATGAGATTCTAAAACCCAGCAGGAGGATTATTAACAGATGACATGACGCATTCACCACCAGCGCTGGTCTGCTGGCCGTTTCCTGCTTTGGGGAGTGAAGAGCGCTCTCTTGCTCTAAATGTGTTTAACAGCCTAAAATAAAATAACTCAAACCAAGACGCCCATTCAGTGCGTCTACGACACACTTTCCCCTCTTCAAGTTGCCGAGAGTGAAGCTCCGTCAGAACCTTAATTGTTGTTAATGGATGAAATCAATGAGAGCGGGCAGCAAAGAGGCTCCACCACCTCCGCCGACCATTCGCTGAACCTCCTCTCCTCGGGTCACGAACATCCCGGGTCGCAGGTTCTCTCCCGGTCTTCGCTTAGACCGCTGACGTGCTCGAGCGCCGGTTGTCTCAGCTGATTGAGGACGTCAGTGGGAGTGGGACAGCTTAGTCTTTGAACGACAGCATGTTACTTACCGTCCCTCGATCAGCCAGGTGCACTTGGTTTTGAACTTGTAGTGCCCCGCTCCGTCGGTCAGCTGACCAGAGGGCCCCGTCAACCTGAAAGGAAAAGATGGATTCAGGGCTCCGGCGGTCGATCGGGTGTGCGACCGCCGAACCCCCCCCCCCCCCCCCCCCAATTTACAGGAAAAGCACCAAAAGGGGACCAGCTCGCCACAGGGTTTATCTGTCGCGTTCCCCGGGCAAAAACGAGGAGGCAAAGGCGTGCGGGGGAAAACCCGCTGGGTCGCCTCCATTTACCACAAGTGACCCAAACAATTGCATCTGTGATGAAGTAAATACTGGCCAGACAAATATATCTACTACTGCTACGTAACTAACTAACTAACCCGAGATGCCGATGTCCGCCTGTTAACAACAGCCTTCGTCATGATTCATGTTTGCGTTGTTATTTCACAACTTCAGCGCGTATCAGTGCAGATTCCCCGGTGTGTGTGTGTGTGTGTGTGTGTGTGTGTGTGTGTGTGCGCATGTTGCATAAGACACTATTTTTTTTTAATTTCGTTTGTATCCAGGCAACAAGTACGCTGATATCGTCTTGGTGAATAAACCAGGCTGCAGAGGGTGCGAGCGGAGCGACGGCCTTTGACGGGCCGGCTTGTGACTCCGTGTCTCACCGACCCCAGAGGTCAGACCCCCCCCCTCGAGTTTACCGCTGTTTGTTCCCCGGGATCATCGCAGCGGCCCACTGGGTCTCAGAGGAAGGCCGTTCCTCTGGAAAAGGTGGGCCGTGACGTGTGCGGACCCCCCCGGAGGAATGAGGACACCAACGGGAAGCGCCGAGCGCTCGATTGTTGACGTGTTATCAAATAAAAGGAGTTATGAGCGTTTATGACGAGCAGAACTGCTTTACGTCGGTCGACCACTAACAGCTTGGTACTAAACTCTGACGTCGAGTCGGGAAACTCAAATAGAATCAAATGCTGCAGAATTTTGGTGGTTTGACTTTATGAGGAGTGTAAAATGTTTTAGGTTAACAAAAAGTTCAGATTCAAATGACAAGATGTCCTAAACAAGGAAGACAATTTCCCCCCCAAATATTCTAAATAAATAACATTTACACTAAAACTAGAGTAAAGTACCAAAGTAAAGCGAGCGCATCTTACTATATGATTAATATCTACAATCTGCTGATATTTTACTTTTTTTTCCCCAGTAAAGCTTCATTTAAATAAGAGCACAACTTCCTAGATTACGTCATCTATTGTTACCGCAGCGACTTGCCAATTCTCTTTTTCAAGGATCTCCTAAACTCAGAGAGATTTGATACCGTAACGAAATATAAATATATAAACTAAGGAACTAGAAGCGCTTTTAACGCAACGTTGGCTCCCTAAACAGTGATGGGGGGTAATTTGATGATTTCCCCCCCATCTCGCGCGCGTTGGCAGAAAGAAGTTTAGTCCGATATGGACGTGATCTCTAAAGGGAGCAGCTCGGTCTTTACGACCCGCCAGGAGCAGCTGAACAACGCCGCTCCCTTGGTAACGTACAACATTTAACGATGATTTAAAGTTGGTCCTGAGGAGAAGAACCGTAAAGCAAACGCACCTCGCGACCAATCTACAGACGCCGCCTGCACGGAACGCGCTCATAAGCCACTCATATATCGTCTAAGAAATATTCCAGGAACTATGAGCAGGTGGGGGATTTTCAAAGTGACTTTTTCCCTCGAGTTGCAGCTGCAGTTTTTGTTTGTCTGTGACTGAAATGTGGCCTTTCATCGGCCTCAATGTGCATCCCATCTCCACGGAGACCCTGCAGCTTCATCTCAGATTCACAGAACAAAGCCTGTAACCCTCAGAGGCCGAGCGCCCGAGGGCAGTTATGGAGGACGGTCGGTTTGGTCCATCCGGCAGGTTAGCCGGACGCCGGACGCCGCAGCACCGAGTTTACACGGTCGGCATCGTCCTCAGAGACAAAAAACGGTCATCAAAAGCCTGATTGTTGGACTCTTTGAGCCAGTGAGCATGATGAAGACCTTTGTGGCCGTTTCGCGGTTCATTGGTCCACATTAGGAGCGATACTTGTGGCCGCCTGGGAATCCCCGCCAGACGTGACCGACAAAAGTCAACTCTGATTCAGATTAAAAAGAAAACAGCGGCTCTTTTCTCCGGATAGATTTCCCATAAACCCGAGAAGATGGTGGCATCGGCCTCAGGGGCAGATTCACGAGGCCCAAAATTCAATTTGAAAAAAAGGGGGCAGCCGACGATTTGGCCGCCCGCCATCCTGTCTTTTAAACCCAGTGAACTGAAGTGACAATATTTGGAGGGTGGAGGGGTGACGTAGTGACGCCAGCTTCACGACTCATTTGACTCCAAGTGGAGCCAAATCTGCTAAACGAACGTCGCGCTGTGACGAAGGAGACGGGGAACATTTCCCCATAGGCTTCCACGCAAAGTGACAGAGGGGGAGTCGGCTCCACAGAGGACTTCCTTCACCTACCGAGTCCTCATCAGCACCACGACTTCAAGAGACCCTCACATGAGGCCAAAAAGGTGATGTTTAAACCATGAAAACAAAAGACAACAACGCGGCTCCAGCCGGGTCCCGTCTGGCCGGGACGGAGCCGCGCGGGGCTTTTTCTCACCGGCATTCAGCCGGGCCTGTATGGCGCCATTGTCTGTATGCTAAACACGACCCCCCTCCCCCCCCCTCCATCGGCCCTTTGGGGCTCACTGTTGCATTCAGCCGGCGATTAGCCTGACGGGGTGAGCTAGCTGTCGCATCGAGCTGATGTCACCTGTGTCCAGGGGGGGCATGCGGGGGGATGGAGGGGGGGGCATGAGCCGCTAAACGTTGTGGTGTAACGTCAGCGCTGGGCTGGGTTGAGTTAGCGAAGCCCGGGGTCAGAGGTCACCGGCAGAGCTTCAGAGGAGGAGACAAACTCAAACGAGCCCAAAGATCAACTTCAGCAATGTTTACTTTCAGGGCCTTTGTCTGTCAGCAGACGCATCATGGTTACTCATAGAGCCACGGGGGGCTTCACCGGCAATTATCTCCGTTTGGGGTTTTTTAAAGCGATTCTAGTTGAGTAATTTGTCAGAAAAAAATTCTCCTAGATTACTTCCTTTGTCCATCACGAGGGTATTCAGTCTAATGTTACACAAATCAACGCACCCACAAGCCCAGATTAATACATCCTCAAAAGCTTTTTTTTTTTTTTTTACTAATCAACATGGATAAAACCAGCAAGAGCAGTTTTTTTTTTAAATGATGTAACCATAACAAATATTAACATGGCCTGAGACAAATCAGTGCAGCTGCACGTTACTTTGTACAAACCAAATCCCGCCTGCTCTGCACACATCGCACAGCGCGCTTCATATCGTCTGAGAAAAGAAGAAGCGGGAACAGATCCAACGGCCAAAACATTTGCGGTTTCCGGCGTGTGCAAAGCGCTGCGGTGCGGAGTACTAGTGGGACGCTAGTGGGTGTCACGTGGGGGCGATAGGGATCGACTGCATCAATGCAACAGGCTCAGCGGCCCTTCGGACCCCCGTTTCACCTGTTCCGATGCCGTCTGCTGAGGCGCAAATAGTTCCCGTGACCTTTTCCTGAGGATGCAACACACGGCAGGAGCATCACAAAGAGAACCAGGAGAGGACACGGATTTATCAAGTGGTCCCTTTCCTCAGCACCTCCTGGACGTTTGCACCAGACCGGCTCAGCGGCTAAAGGCCCGGTGAAGTCCTGCACAGGGGAACGCTTTACAAACACTTTCTGGAAATAAACACCTGGCTGGGCTGCAGCAGAGGTGGACAAAAACATATTGATTTGGTTATTTCTGCAGCTTTTATACCAAAAATCTGGCTTCTTATTCTCCTTTGATGTCATTGTTAAGCGTGAGCACCTTTGGGTTTGGACCAGGCGCTCAATCAGATGACAGCTTGGTTGGATGACACCTGTCCTGGTTAAGCCACTTAAACCTCCTCACAAGCAGCCTGGTGCTTATCGGCCCCGCGTTACACCCGCATCGAGCAGAGCCAGGAGGACTGCTGGTAGTAGCGGACCCCCCCCACCCTCTCTCTCTCCCCCCCCGAGGGGATAAAAACCCGCCGGTGCGTCTCCCGGTACCTGAACCGCCCTCCGCAGTGCTGGCACTGGTCCCCGACCCAGCCGGCGACGCACACGCAGCCGCCGGTGGCGGCGTTGCAGCGCCCGTTCACGCAGGGCTTGTCGCACTCCTTCGCCTCCGCGACGGCGGGCAGGCCGGAGATCAGCCCGGCGACCGACAGCAGCGCCGCGGCCGTCAGCACCGGCCGGGCGCGGGCGGCCCGCACGGGGCCGGAGCAGGCCCGCCGCGTCGTCCCGTACATGGCTCCGCTCGAAAAGATGGCTGCTTCGAGGCGACGGCGCTCCGCTGCTTCGGGGGAGGGAGGGAGGAGGGGGAGAGAACGGCGGCTTCGCGAGCAGCCGGTGTTCGGGTTGGGGGGGGGGGAAGGCGATTCACGTTGTCGACGTTAGGTGCGGGTTCTCTGCTCCTCCTCCTCCTCCTCCTCTCTCCCCCCCTCCGCCCCCCGGCGGATACGGTTGCGTGTCTTCTTCGTTGAGGTGGTCTTCCGCTGGGTGCTTGGCTCACATCTTCCCAGTGGTTCCGTTTCCCAGCGCCGCACCGAGCCGCATATTGACATCCGGAAGTGAGGTCACGGCGGCGGAATTGCGCAACCGGGGGAAAGGGGAGGGGCCAAGCGCGCAAACTTTTATTTTGATAACAAAGAGCAGAGGCCCCGCCCCTCCACATGCTGCTCGTTTATCTTATCTTTATCTTACTTAGCTTATCTTACGGAAACATCGTCTTTTATTTCGTTGACGTGAAAGATGAAGTCATGTTTTGAGTTAATTCGCCCTCCACTAACTGAGGATCATGTCAATATGTTCTACATTAAAAGGTCTATATAATGAGGTTAATGACATTATTGCTTAATATTAAACAGTTTCTGTGCGCAAACACAGCGTGACATACATGTATTGAATATACAGATACAGCCAGTTTCAGTGTAAATTCTTCATAGCACTGACTTTTTATAAAAGCCATAACGATGGTCGGAATGGTGAAACTGCATATGTCCACTCACAGACTGCACACCAAGGACACAAAACTGTACAAACGGTATAGACCGGTTTATTAAATTTAGACTTGTAAGAAGTCATCATATTCCAACGCGCTCCATCGCAGGAAGCCCATTCATAATAACACCAACCCCAAGAGGATTGATCACGGCATCAAAACATAAATAAAGCAAATGAACATATTTACAATTCAACATGGACAAGAGAGTGGGGTTTGTGCACAAAAACTGGCAACTACATATCCAGGCGGGGGGGTTATTTAAATCAACTGGCCTCTGGAAGAGATACCTGGATGACAGAAGTGAAAAAACGGCACAAACACAACTTAACAAAACATGAAAAAACTTTACAGTATAAATCACATTTTCTTGGTTTTGAATGAAAAAAAAAAAAATCTAAATCCTCATATAATACACTATTGTCAATAATGCTGTTTCAAGTTTTGATGGTATGAACTGACAGGCTATTTACTGTACTACTTACTGTAGGTAAGTGTTAAAAATGTCCTTGTCTCCTGTAAATCCTCCACAAACAAATCTTTAGAGCGCAATCCTCTGAGGAAGTGACTTCTACAAAACCAATGACAAAAGAGTAGCTAATCAATTTCAGAGTCTGTGGATCCATAATTGAATTCCTTTGACAAATCTAACATTAGTTCTACATAAAAGTGGTACATTGTAAGCACTTAAGTAACAATAGTCCACACTATGTCGCTCACAAAGCAGCTTTAGTCTCAATTTGCGGTGCAAGCGCTCACATGTCCCCCTCCGACTTGAGGACAGGCCATTTCATGGAACTGCTTTCTGGTCTCCAGGCTTCTTCGGGGGGGGGGGGGTACAGTCCGTTTTTAACTCGGTGGAGAAAACTGATCATTTTACAAGAAGAAAGACTCATCTTCAGTGAGCTGAGTGGACGGATGAACGAAAATCAGTTTGACTTCCTGTAGAAAACGCAGCAAAGACTTTACAGTAATCAAAAAACCCTGCAGAATAAAAAGGAGAAAAAACTGGGCTTATTAAAATAAAGTAAGAAAAAAAAGAGAAAAAGATTCTTAGAAAAGTACAATCATTGAAAGCACATTACAATTAGCAGTTTGTGAGTGAAGTTACAAACGGGTCATGTGACAATCCCAGCACTTCTTATGTACATTAAACAGTGTTTTTGGGGATCACATGACCAACATCAGGTCCGGGTCCCCAGCAGACGATGTCGAGGGGATAAAACAGTATCATCTCGTGACTAAATGCTATTTCTCCTGATCACGGGAGGGCTGCACACCTCAGTATCTGTAGCGCTTCACCGGAAAACCAGCTGGACGGGGTCGGAGGACAGAGCCCCCCCCCCAAAAATGGAGTTATCTGTGAGAGAAAAGTACACTTAACTGACTTTCTAATGGCACTCTGGTCCTGCAGGGTCTACTCTGGTGCTCGCCCCCCCCCCCAGTACCCCACACGCCTAACGACAGCGAGAAGAGGCGCCCGACGTCATCCGTCTCTGGAGGTCACACTGTAACATTCAGCTATCCACTAATGGCAGAGACCCCCCCCCCCCCCGCCAAAAAAAATATCTCACACTATCTTACAGTTGCCTCATGGAAAAAGCCATTTACAAGCAACGGCACCTTAAAATATGTACAGGATTGATCGAACATATCTTAAGAAAGACGAAAGAAAAAGATAGAAACAGATTGTTTTCCCTTCGATTATGTACACGAGCAAAAGGAGGCGTTTGGAAAAATGATTGAGCACCTCAGTCGTTGTGTAAATTCATACACAGAAAAGAGAAACTGCTTCCAAGTACTGGCTTTAAGATAACAAAGTCACACTCACCGCTTCACTTCCCGTCAGGTACATGCAATAAAAAATAAAGAACTTGCTCGGCATTCATTCAGAGGCCGCTTTCCAAAGGCAAAGTATGACGGATGATCCGGATTCTCAAACTCTTACGCAATACGTCACCTTCTCTCATTTAAAAAGAACACACAGGAAAACAAAAAGATTTTTTTGGTCTCCCAAATCAGGCATAGAGGGGTGTGAGAACACCGGAGAGCGCCCGTACCAGTGACCAGTACTGCTGGACTGGCCGGGCGGCTGATCAAGCATCAAAGGCCCCTTTGGAGTGTCCTCTTGGTTTTCGATACCTGAGGTGTAGCGTGGGTGAGCGAACACTGGCTGAATGTTGGGAGCAAGCGGCGTGTCTGTGAACAAATCTTATTTCAAACACTTCTCAGCATGTCGGCCCGTCGCCTCGGAGCATCGGGCCGTCGGTCGGAGGGAATTCGTTACAATGTCCCGCGGATGATAGCTTAGCACAAACCCCACGTGCTACTCACAGCCGTCCCACACGGCCGCTAAGGAGCACTCGAGCCAAGTCAGGATTCCAGAGCTTCACTTGTAAAGTGTGATTCCAATTGGGAAGGTGTGGATGACGGCGTGCGTGAATGCGTGACGGCGTGCGCGTTTGCCGGGAAGAGTCGCTGTGCAGGACTTGGTCGCCACGTGAAAACACTTCCTGCACGTTTGTCGCTCTCAAGTTCTGTGGCAGTGTTTGACGGCACGGGGGCTAAGGTGTTCCTCTGGGGGGGGGGGGGGCTGGGAGGGATGGGGGGGGGTTTCATATGCGTCACGGGACATTCAGGTTGCCGACGTCTGGCGCGAGGGCCGGCCCATGGACGAGGCGCTGTAGGTGCGGGAGCGCTGCCTCATGGCCGGTCGGAAAGGCAGCTCCAGCTCCTGGAAGAGGGGCGTCCCCGTGATCTCGGCCGCCTCGGGACGCTCGCCGGGGCTCCACGACAGCATGCTGCGCACCATGCTGAGCTGCACACGGGGAGGGAGGGACAACGGGGTCACGCTAACGCGGTCAGGCCAATCTGCTTCACCTACAGCTTGTTTGACTTTGTTTACATGAAAAATGTATATGAAATATTATTTCACACCAACACAAACACACACACACACACTGCAGAACATCTTAAAATAGCACACAGCTAGGACTAAACTGGGATAACAGGACGAGGGTATTTCACAGATTACGCAGAGGGATTATGTTAATTTCATTACAGTAAGTAAACAGGTAAATGAGGTAATGTGAACGACCCCGCCTCCTCCTACCCCGAAGATAATATTTTAGAGGTTATTCAAACAGGGATTGTTTCAATTGTAACCAGATTTTTTTTTATTGAAAATGACTGATTACACTTCCAAATGAGTTTGATATCTATTTGAGTCTCAGAATATTTACATTCCAGTGTCCAGTGTGAAAACGTGTGCAGATTTATCTGTATATCCTGTTCATCTGAGGGCAGAACAACTCAACCACACGTCCTAATTGGATCGGCTCAGCAGACTTTGACTCAGCGAGTTGTTAACGTGGACGGATCATTAACTGTGTGACCGACTACCCAATGAGACTCTCCCCACTCCAGACCTGTGGCGCTGGTCACACTTTTGTTCATTTACTGTGTTGTTCGGTTCGTGTGCAGCTGGCGTTGTCAGCCAGAAGGGGGCGCCAGACGTCCACTCACCTCCTGCACGTTGTTTTTGGAGAAAGCCTCGGGGAAGCGCAGCGCTCTCACCTCAGTCAGTGTCTGGAAGGGAGGACGTAAACACCTGTGAGCGGGAGCGGTGCTACTGGCTCATTAAGCCCTTTGTTACAGAGACAGAGACAAAGACGCCCCCACCCCCACCTTCACCCCCCCCCACACACACACACACACAGAAAATGCACCGTTCAAAAACATACAATAATGAGCCTTCAAAGGAATATTGGATTAATGTGTTGTAGCATGGCGAACAGAGTTTTCAGACAAAACAGAATAATTGAATGAATAAAACAACAGACAGAAAGATAAGCTGCCTCATTAGGAAGTCTCTCTTTCCTTCAGCTTTAACTATTTGAGAAATTACCCGTTTTACTCGTGTCGGATAGTTTGGTTGGGGTAAAATTGCTTACAGACGCCTTTATAAAATCCTGCTTTGCTTTTAATTAGTACGATTTCCCTTTGATTTAGTTGTTTTTGCTTTGCTTGCCTTTTGTCTTTAGTGAGCGCTTCCTTTTATTTAATGCTTCAGACTTATTTGTAACCATTTATTACACAAGGAAATCACAATAAACAAACAAATAACAATAAATGCTAGGCAGTTAAAAAAGCCCAATTAGAGGGTAATCTATGGTGGAATAGCAAGCCGATTGAATAAAAAGGAAAAGTATCACCATGAAGACATGCTTGTGTGCTCGTGTCTTTGCTGACTCACCCTCACTCTCTCCATCTGGGTCCTGAAGGGATACAGCAGCTCAAACAGGATCAGACCCAGAGAGTAAATGTCCACTTTGTGGGAGTACGAGTTTCCAGAGAGCTGCCGGCAAAAAGGAAACCCTCAGATACATGTCAGCATATCGGATCCTATCCCATTCTCACTGCTCTAAAGCTCTGCGGAGAACATTTCTGCAAGGGACTCGTGTTCCTGCTCACCTGCTCCGGGCTCATGTAGAGCTTGGTGCCGACCTGGCCCGTGTGTCGGGTCAGCAGCGGCGCCGGCGTCAGGGCGCTCGACTCGTCCTCATCCTCCTCCTGTTCCATGGCCGTCACCAGGCCGAAGTCGCCCACCTTCACCACGTCGTCCATCGTGAAGAAGATGTTGGAGGGCTGCAGGACAGATGCATTGCTTATCAGTTGATACGTCCCTTGTATATACGTAAACCACATCCTATGATGCTGTGGCAGCTCACCCGTACAGTGTGTGTGTGTGTGTGTGTGTGTGTTCACCTTAAGGTCCCTGTGCATGAGCCCCTTGCTGTGCAGGAAGTCGACGGCCTCTGCAATCTGGAGGAAGATATCTAGACATTGGCTGTTCTCCCTCTGCTCGGGGAGGCAGCGCTGGGCCATCCAGTCCTTCAGGTTCTCCTTCCGACAGAGCTGCATCTGGATGTACAGGTACACCTGGAGGATGGGGGGGGGTTCAGATACATTGGGATCATTCAAAAATATAGGATGCCTTTGATCTGTAGCTTCCCCCCACTAAATGACAGATGATGTGACCGTGGGCCAAAAGTTAAAATTACAATAAATATATTGCAAAAATGCGGCTGAGTACACTTAAAACTTTATAAACTAAAGAAGACAACAATTTGTAACTTGTACTTCGAGGTTTCTTCTTACCGGTACAAGTTTACAACAGTGGGGAATAAAAGTGGTAACCCGTAGTGCGCATGCCGGGTGGGGGAGTGATGGACTGACCTTGGGGGAAGGCTGGACTCGCTGGGTGTCAGTTGGGGGGAGCGCCAGGATAAGTGAGGTCGGCCGGGGGGGGGAGCAGGAGAAGGGCGGGACGGATTGCCTGGTGCGCGAGGAAGACGAGCTGTTCTTCTCTGTTGTCGTGCTCAGGCTGGCCGAGTCGGTGTCGCTGTCGGCGTCCGCGTCGGCGTCCCGGTCGCAGCCCGAGTCCTCGAACACGATGTCGAAGGACGACGAGGTGCAGTCGCTGGGGCCGCGCGGGGGACACAGCTCGAAGGAGTGGGGGTTGTCCGAGGCGTCGCGCTCCGCCCGGCTGCCCCGCTCGGACGTCGGGCTGTCGTGGTCCAGCAGCGGGTGGAAGGACAGGTCTCCGTCGTCCACGCCGAAGCCCGCGGCGCTGCTGCTGGTGAGCAGGGCCCGCGCGTCCGCAGAGGCACCCATGGCGTCGCCTCCGGGGCCGCGCAGCGCGGACACCGAGCTGGAGACGGGGACTTTGACGGACAGCGCCTCCATGTGGTCGAGGAAGCTCATTGGCCAGTCGGTGGCGCTGAAAGAGAGGAAGGAGCGTTGGTGCCGCGACGCTCACCGCAATCTACTGACTATTATCATAAGGAAACAAGTGCAGAGCAACGTAGAGCCGTGGGCGGAGTCAGCAGCAGTATTTACAACACTCCCCGACTTTATCAGTGAGTTAGTTTAAACACGTTTGACCTGCTGAGGGTCACAGGGTGAAACAAAAAAAAAAAACTTCAAAAAAAAAAAAGGGGGCCAACCTGCCGTCTTTCAGCCACCTCTGATCCATCTCCTCCTGCCAGCCCTCGGGGGGGCTCTCCTGCCAGGCGTTGAAGTAGCGGATGATCCCCGGATGCTCCAGCTTGGCCAGCGCCTTCACCTCTCGCATCACCTTCTCACGGGCCAGCTCTCTGCACGAGGTCAAAACTTTGAATTACAATAATTTAGCAGCTTTATATGAAAACAAACCGTGCCGTGTCATCGTTTTGCAGCCTTCGCGTGAGCTCAATGCAGCCTCAATACACCGAGGGCTCAATAAGCACTTCAACCAAAACACCGGGGCTAAAATGATAATTCAGTTTGATATGCGTAGCGGGACGTAGCGGTCAACAACGCCGTCTGAGATGAACACATGCAGAGCTGCCGTCGGCTCAACGCTACATTTTCCACGCTTGTCAGTACGAATATAAAAACACGGCTGCTATTTGTACCCAACGGGGAGTTTTGCCGCTTATGTAACTCGGTCTTCAGCGCGGAGAAAGAGCAAGGGGGTCAGCGCTACCTGTTGGGCAGGCGGATTCGCTTGATGGCGTAGTCGCAGTCGTCCACTTTGTTGCGGGCTTCAAACACGACGCCGAACCCCCCGCGGCCGAGGCACTGCACCGGCTGGAAGTCGGTGAGGTACCTGTGGGCGAGAGAGACGGGTCGGCTGTCATTCAGTGTTGTGGCACACCTCTCTGCACTGGGATCAGTCAATGCCAAGGAGGCTCAAGCGATAGAAGGAGTAAAGGAGTAAATACCAGCCAAATCCCTCTTAAGACCGGCTGTGGCTGCCGAGTCGGCAGGTAACCAACTCACAGCTAAACACGAATTTAAACCAATGTTGTGCTGACGGAAAAATAAACTCTTGGCCGTCGCTTGGTAGTGACAGACTCCACTAAGAGGTGCAGCGCTGAAAAAAGGGATTTTTAGGATTAAACCGGCTCATTTCTAAATAAAAGAATGCATCAATATTGCTATAGTGTACTCATTTTCAATAAAGAAAAAAAAAAAGAGGACAAACATAAGCATCTGTCTGCATTTAAGCATTTTATATCGGGAGTTATTTGGCTCCGGTCGGGGACCCGCTGCTCTCCGCCCTGGTGAAGCATCCCCTCTCAGGCTCCTCTGGGGATTGCGGCTTGTCTTATTAGGAAATGTGTGTGCACGTGTGCTGCAGGCCCGGATTCCGGATCGCTATCTGCCTCCCAATGATCCTCATTCCCACCTCAGCTGCTCCTGCAGCAGCAACCGGATTTATTTAGGGAAACTTCTTTGGCAAAAGCGATTTGTGAGGTTTTGCAGCAGCAGCAGCAGCTTTAATGGAAAGGGGAGGGGTGGGCTTCATTTTGGGATGGCTCAAAAGAGGAGAATGTGCAAGTGGTGACAGCAGTGGGGGCTCGTGGAGGAGGGGAGGGGGGGGCAGGTTTTATTTTAATTCCTGCCCACGTTTGAGGGGAAAAGGCTGCATTATCCATCTAGAAAGTAACCATGTTAACTCCATCAGAAGACATGAGGTCTGTGAAAGACAATAAATCTTTGGTACTGACGATATTTGGGGTGTTCACAATAACGTAAAAAAACCCTGGTGACAATGTGCTGACCGAGATGTAACGTGACACTGCGCCCCTGTGACAGACGCTGCTGGGTAGGGTGGGGTCTGCGGGGGCCAAGGTCATTTTCATTTGATGGCAAACAGCTGAGTTGTCCAATCATGCAGCACTACGACTTGCCGATCTTCCATCTCTGCCTTGTCCTATCGAGGCAGGCTGGAAGACCAGCGGTCACCATGGTAACAGTGCCGAATCTGTAGCTACACCTTGAAAGAGTGGGACTCGCGTCTGCAACTTTGAAGCGCGAGGGTAACAAACTCCCAGCGGAGCAGCGGCGTTTTGTCTAAACTCTCCCGAGTCACGATAAAAACATTCCCTATTTACAAGCAGCTTCCCTGTGTGTTAACAATCATGTACCTGGACACATATTCGCTGGAGCGGGTCTCCATAGCAACCGGCTCTTTGGATTCCACAACCTCAAGGTCAAACTTGCAGTCTGTCTGGCACTGTGTCTCCGACTCTTTCCGTTGCTTTGAAGGACAGAAGGAGGTCGGAAAAGAAATGGAAATGTTGAAAATATAACAGTAGGCAAACCTTGAACCTCTGCTATGAAATATCAGTGAATAGTAATGAACTAAAAAAAAAAGTTTGGTCACACTTTCTCATTCAATTAGAAAAAAACTAAACTTTTGACTGGTATGTTAACTGCTTGACCTCTCAATGTTTGATGAGAAATGCAGAATAGAGTCATGACTACAAGAGACAACAGAAGGAATATTCAAAGAAGGGAAATCACAATTTGCAATTTGGTAACATTCAGCCCAATTTATGGCAATCTCTCGTTAAAGGTCAAATATAATTCTCAAAAAGACACAACTTCCTCAATCTTCTTTGAAAAGGTATGAATTGTATTATTTTCTCTAAGAGCATCATCTCCATACATCATTTTTGAACTGCGATGCTTAAAAACCGTTATAATCGTGTTATTGCCGCTGCAGGCTGCTGGTCTTACCCTCACGTAGGCCACCTGGGCCGGAGGGTGGAAGAACTTGCGCACGATGTAGGTGGTGGCGGCGATGCAGAAGACGATGGTGCCGAGGATCTCCTTCCACCAGGGCAGCAGCAGCACGGGGTCCTTCCTCCGGCGACTCTCCGGCCCCGCCCCGCTCTCCTTTATCAGGCTGACGGCGCTGTTGCGTTTCTCCCGGTACAGCTTGCTGTAGGGGAAGAAGTAGCCGTTGTCTACGGAGAAGAAAAAGATCCATCAGTGGGGCGACGTTCATTTTTTGCGTCAGTCTCGGACAATTCGCTTTGTGCGCGTGACTTGACTGTGGTGTTTTATGTCCCGGTGTCCCGTGTCAGGACCTCACCATATGGATACTGGAGGATGGACAGGGCTCCGTTGCTGTATTCTTCATGGGAGAACTTGTCATTGTTCAGACACTTGTCAAATTCATCAGAGCCGACCAGGGCCGGTGTCCGAGACGGGGAATCTGTGTCAGGGACGAGAGGGATATGTTCTTTGATCGCAGAGTCAGAACAACAATCGCGAGATCAAAATCACACAATAATGGGAATGAAGACGAAGATCTGAGCAGCAGGAAAGCGAGCCCAAAAGGCTGCTAATTAATATTCGGTCTGACTATGCTATGCTAATGAAGCCTGCTGGGTTGATTAGACAAAAGGAGGCGTGGACTCACGGACTAAAGGCTTCCACTTGACTGTGGGTAGTGGAATGACGTCCTTCAACGATCCGATCGCTTTGGTGGGGAACTTTTGGCTGATCCTCACTGAGGACTGGAGGTAGAGCTGTCCCTGGTACATCCCTGATGGAACCAAGAGGAGAGACGTGTTCCACGTTCACTGGGGGGCCGAATGAAACTCAAGGAGGGTTCGTGCTGCAGTGTTCATTTACCAAGGTAAACACTGGACTCTTCTGCTCCTCTGGCGTTGTGGGAGGAGTCGTCGTCCTCCTCCTCCTCCTCCTCCTCGTCGGTCTCCGACTGGTTGCTGTAGGCGTTGTCGTCGAACAGGGCGATGGGTGTGACTTTGCCCCCGCCCACCAGCCACGCCGAAGCGATGGGTGTGCAGAACTACACGACACAGGCGGTGCAGAATGAGGAGGTACTCTTCATCGAGTTAACTCAACTTCGAGCAATCAGGCGGCTGAAACACGCCACCGAACTACGCTTATGGCGGCCCTACCTGGCGTTCCCAGACCAGCTGTCCATGCGGCGCCGTGCTGAAGGCCATGACCTTCCAGTCGGGAACTGACACCTTGATCACCAGGTCCAGATTGTGGTTCTGCTGGTTCTCCGTCTGCCCTCTCTCTTTTGGTTCGCCCACGATGACCCGCTGGCTCTCCCGCCGGGCCTCGCCGTTTGCCACCTCCCCCTCCAGGAAGTTCATGCCGGACTGCGTCTCGGGAAGGAGCTTCAGCTCAAAGTTCCCGACGCTGAAGTTCCACCTAGAACAAAGACGGATTACAAAAGTTGGGACGGATGGTCTCACTGAGGGCACAAACATCAGATTGTCAGTGTGGTTCAGGAAGACATGATCGTGGTTTTAAATACAGGAGTTCATTCTGAGTCACATGACTCAAAGTGACAGACACCGACGGGCCGGTGGAATAAATCTCACTTCTCCATCCCTGAGCGCGGCCGGATGGCTCGCACGGTCTTCTGAGTCCTCTGCAGCAGGAGCACGTCTTCGGCCTCCATCTCCTCGTCCCCCCAGCTGCTGCAGCCCCCCGCCGAGCAGATGTACCGAAGCTGAGGCAAACAGAAGGGGGTCGTTACACTGTTTTCATGTGGCGAGAAACAATCTCGGCGCTTTATGCAATTTTCTTGTTTTCATTGCGCGACGTGTGCGGATTGGAGTTGGCGGGTTCGCTGACCTTGCCGCTGTAGGCCCCCAGGCCGTAGGTAGTGAGAGATTTCCCCCCAACCAGCACGGTGTCCTCCCCGATGCGGTAGGAGGAATCCAGCAGGGACTCCACGCTGAAAGGCACGGCCTCCATAGTCTCCCTGTCCCGGTTCCACTGGAACAAGGCCCCGTCCAGTGAAGGGATGACCATCTTATTGCCAAACACCTGCAGGAACAAACGGGTTCGTTCTAAACGTTGCCAATGTCGGATTAACTGAACCTGAACTTAAGGATTAACAAAAGACGTCACTCGAACGGCCTCACAGCGATCGAAAGGCAATGCAGGGGTCCCCTGAAAATCAGTATGGGGCCCTGAAGCTTTCAGCCTGGACGTATTCGAAGAAATGGTTTAACACTCGTCTCTTCATGCACATCAGAGCTCCTGAAATATATTTTACAGTTAGTGAGTCACACTTGGACTCCATCCACCGGCTACATGGAGGAGTAATTAACCTGGATCTGTCCAACAGTGTGCGACCTCGGAGGATTTGCATCTGTGTGTGTGTGTGTGTGTCATTAGGTGCTGACTGCAGGGGGGCCGGCGACAATGACACCATGCAAACCTGAGCCCTAATCCTGATTCAGGCTCCAAAGCTTTAGCTCGTCAGTGGCCGTAGGAGTCATTGTTCTCGGTCACTATCAAAGAACGTCATCAAGAATACGTGACGTCCACGTGTGACTCACTCTACAAACTTTTCAGGGACAGAAAATCAGTTCAACCATTTAGACAAATTAGCACTCCCACATCAACCAGTCTAACAAATCAAGATTGAAAGTCGGCGTAGTTCCTGTGTGGATTAAAAAGCCAAGCGTGTGAGAGGATGATTTACTGCACAGCAGAGGTGATGTCATCTTTTAGAGGGAAGGGGTTTGGAGACAACATGAGGATAAATGTAGCAGGAGAAGGGAGGAGGGGTTAACCATCTGACCATCACAGGTTGAATGACCTTATAACGTCATTATGGCGCCTCAGTTGCAGGTTATTTGTTTCGTTTAAACATCCTGTTCACTTAACGCTACCAAGGTACTACTGACACGTCAAAGGATACGCCCAACATGTCAAACTAAAGATCTGATTGGTTGAAATAATATGGAGGACCTCTCTGATTGGATGAAAGCTTTCTTTAGAACAAGCAGCACTGGAAGCAACAGAAAATAAACTAATGGGGAAAATAGTTATACTATATACACAATATAAGATAACTATAACAAGCAGACAAGGCTTAACCCCCCCTGCATCACACCATGCTGGTATGGCTGGGGGATGGGGGGCTTCTCAGAGCTGTGGATGAGTCACCCTGCTCCTGATGTCTTAATCCATGTCCCTGATCCAGTAAAGTGTCCTGACCTCAGGGTCTCTGCTACTCGCCCACGGGCTTCCATACACTCGGGGTTCCACCCCCCCATCGCGTGGCCTAAAAAACGCTCGGATCGGCACGTTGTGAAACAGAGGAAAAACAGAGTTGTCAAAGGTGAAGAAATCATAGTGGTGTCAAACGGTCCAACGCCCCCCACTCAGCTGTGTCCAGTGGAGTAATCCACTCCCGGGTCTACGCTGATGCTTTATGGGCAGGGGGGCCGTCGATCTATTTGCCCAACACAAGAAACGTTCTTTTGTTCTCAAACTTGCAGAAAACTGTAGAACGCATTTAAGATTTGGCACCTTAACTTTTTTCCCCAGAATAACTCAAATGTCCGATTGGCGCTGAATGGACGAGGAAGCAAGATGTCTCACTCCTTCGTCATCACTTTCATCAGCGCCGGACGAAACCGTGTGTTTCATCGGTTTTTTTACCACTTGCCCCATCGACTGAGTGTCTACATTTATAAACCAAAGTGACATTTAACCTGATGGGTATTCATTTAGAATATTCTATGTGATTTTATTTGACATAGAGAAGTTAATCGTTTCCAACTGATGGGTAGATTGACTCGTTTATTTAGTACACACGCCATCGAGCAAGAAAATGTCTTTCATTAAAATGGAAATTTGTTAATTATTAATTATTACAGAAAGAAACAGTTTGAGGAAAGTCCTTGAATTAATTAATAAAAACAACAACAAACATCAAAGCAAATTAAAGGTATTCTTTGGTGAGCCATGTATAAATTATGACCAACCTCTAATCTATATTTTTAACTGTGGTTGTCTTCTCGCTCTGTATAAATTATCCTTAGTTCAAACTGGTCTGTTTCTCACACTTTTTGCAATGTTTTGAAAACACATGAAATGGAAACAAAACTGAAGATTCAAAAGAGCCACTTACATAAAATATTCTCAGTGATTAAAAAATACTGACTGCTCAGCACATAACGCTTTCCTCCTCCTTGTGTCTCTCTGCTCTCAATTCCCACCGCCCGTGAATGTTTTATGCGCTTTAACTCGGACCCCTTCACGTCTTCACAGGCCCTTTTCTCACAGATGGATCCGCCATCACTGCGGCTGCAGGGAGCGTGAGGTTAGGCCTTCACTGTGGGGGGGGCTTCGGGCTACTATACTGTATGAGGACACGTCTAGGATGGGGGTTCCGAGTGTGTTTGTGTTGCTACCGACGCTCCAGTGATCCCGTCAAACAGCGGCGGCCCAACGAGACGGCGCCCAGAGACAGAGAGAGCTAAGGGGATGCTGCTGGGTTAGCCCCCACCTCCTGAAGAAACACCAAAATAAAAGCTGCACGGCCCGAAACAAAGATCGACTTTGTGCCAGAAATATCTCCCGTCTTCCCTTTCTTCATTTCCTTCGGCGCGCCGGAAGAATGATCGCTGGTCACAGCGCGGCTATCCATCGTGTAGCGCTCGGTGATCAATGGAGCGCTTCATCCTTCATTCATTTAGACCGCATGCCGGCAGAGGAGTGTGTGTGTGTGTGTGTATTGTCTGTTACGTGATGACATCATCTCTGGTCTGAGGCATTACCTCACCTCCCCCCTAATCACCCAACCTCCCGCCCGGTTCTTCATCCCTTTAATGCCCCCCAGCATGACTCACTCCACGTTGGCACAGACCCCCCCCTGCCCCCCTGTCCCCCCTCCTCTAATGCTCCTGGCTCTTTTTCTGCAGACAATGCGGTTTGTGGCTCCGCCGTCCCTCATTTAAAAAAATAAATAAATAGAGACATAAAAAAGGAGCAACACAAACACACACAGCAGCGTGGATCCAACCCGCAGTGTACCATGCTCAAACAAGAACCCAGCCAACCACACACACACTGTGGTCATAAGAGAGCTGTTCATTCACAAATGTCACGCTGCATGAGCGCTGAGGAGGCGTTGGAGGTGTTAGGACCCCCCCCCCCCCCCTTCAACTCCCACACCCACACATGCAAACAGAGTCGACAGGCATAGCAGGTTGCAAAGGGCAGAGCGGGAAACGTACATGAAATACATGCGTAAAACACACACACACACAGCAGTGAACCCTGGGAACCGTAACAAACGTCACAGCGAGTCATCGGGTTCTGAGCCGAACATCAACAGGTGAAAACACACTGATAGAGGAAGGACACACACACACACACACACACACACACACACACACACAAAAGAAACCGCCTGGCTTTCGGCTCAACAGAAAGTTGATTTTCCTTTGAGCCGTTGAATGAATGTGATTAATAAGCAGGCTGAAGACTTTCATCTGAGCGTGTAGAATCATGCCCCCCCCCCCCTTCGGCGCTATGGAAATCTGCACTTCCCACATAGCGAGCGTGATCTCTGGTAATTCGGTGCAGCGGGTTCGCAACTTTGTTATTCAAGGTCAAATTTACATTCCGAGGCATCGAGAGGAGCGAACGGCGCTCGGTCTGTGTGGACTCTCAGTGCTCGGAGGAACCTTCAGGGGGTTCTCCACCGCAGAACCCTAGAGGGCCCCAGAAAACACACTCAAAAAGGCTCATTAATTCTCATATGCTGTTATTATCTCAAACACTTCTGAACCATTTACCATCCTGAAGGAAGTTTGACTCGCTGACACGGAGCTCCAACGCTCCTTCAGAAGGTCCACATTCCAACTGTGAACTACAGATCCCCTTTTGAGGTCCATTTATTGCATGTGAACCAAGCCTTTCCACATATTTATAGGCCACACTAATATTATTAGTATGATACAACTGGTAAAATTAGATTACAGTGGTACAGTTTCTATGTAACGGGACACTCTGGCAAGAGGAAGCCAACACCTGGATTAACGAGGCCCCATAAATCACATTTATACCTGATTAACGGTTCCCTAAAGCACAACCATCCATCCATCTTCAAACCGCTCATCCTGCACACGGGGGGTCGGGTGGGGGGCTGGAATCAACCCCAGCCAGCCTGCTTGTTGTGGATCAACTGGACCCTTTTAAAAAAAAATCATTTGAAACACTCAAATTCATTTAGCAGAGATTAGGTGGGAATCAAACGCTCCGAGTTTGTTGTTCTGTGTTTACCCCCCCTGTGGTAAAAACGAACCAAGACTTTGGATTCCAAGCAATCCAAAGCAGAGCCCCCTGTCGTAACGTGTTAGACGTCATGAAGTGGATGTAGTTAGCGTTGTTATTGTTCCGCCAGGCGAATGAAGCAGGAACACGTTGTGATTGCAGAGCCACAGAGTTCATTACACTCAAACACGCCTCGCCAGCACCAGCAGACCGACATTAAACCGAGCTCACCCGCCACCCAGAGCCCACTTGTTAGTATCCAAGGCTTTTTCCCCCCCCCGAGGCAAAACCCCCACACGCAGCGAGTCCACATCAAAGTGAACCGTGAGCTCGTCTGTAGCGGCGCGTCGGGTCGGCCGCCTTCAGCTTCTGCATGCAGAGACGTGTGAACCAGCACAGTCAACAAAGAGGCTCATCCTCCAGGCAACAACTCCTCAGATGCATGTGGGGGTGTACAGTAAATCTGCTGTGCATTGTGTGTGTGTGTGTAGATTACATGTGAGCAACAGCAACCCTTGGTTGACTGTTGAATTATTGGTCTCACGGTGTACACAAAGAAAGCCAGAAGGGCCAGAGTTTGTTTGGAGATGGGACCGACAACACAGACATGGCGTGACCGTGGAAATTGGCTTTTTCATCCACCGGTACGTGTTGATCAGCTGGACAGCGTCATGTTTAAGGACTAAAGGGAAGGCTCGGGGCTTGGATGAGGTACTTAGTAGTAACAGAGCAAAGCAATGAACTGCTGTGGACGGGGTCGGCAAAAATACATAAAGGAAATAATCTACACCGGTTTAAGTGTACTATACCATTTAAAGCCTTTCACAGCTTTACATTGCAGGGAAATTAAGCTTTTGTACCATCTATGCACTTGCCAACGCCACCAGACTCCATTGAAAAAACAGCAGTTTCCCGCTAGTCTGTTTGTACTGTGGTTGCCGCGCGAGGAGCGCGAGCTGCCGCCGTCTTCTGCCAAGTCAAATTAGGGTGTTGTGGCCTCGGCGAGAGGCGCAGATAACAGCTTTCGTTCCACATCGTAAACACCGACTCAAGGCGAGATTAATCAGGGGAAATATTCTAAACATGCCATCAATGCAGAGCGCACGTCCAAGGTGTGCTGCCCTTGTCCTAACCGGTAAACGGACAAAAGGGGCACCGATCTGTACGGCGTTAACGTCATGCGGAGGCCGGCGTACCTCAGGTTTGCTGAGGCTGGACGACACCAGGCCACCCGAGGAAACATCCAGGTCCCACTGCTTCCTGCCCTGGTTGTGAGGGTCCAGAGCAGAGATCCGGCCGTCCAGGGTGCTGATGATCACCAGAGACCTGCGGGACAGAACACACACACACAGACTTCAGCACACGAGTACTGGTGAACGCCATTTCCAGCTGTACACACGGGCGCTGGCGCCAGACCTGCCCCGTCTTCCCACTGAGGGTTTGCATGTCACGCAGTCAAAGACGAGACAGTAGAGGGCGAGGAATGTTAAGTGGTGGTGCAGATGTTGCCTTTACCTTCTGGTCCTCAACCCTTACTGGGCAGGAAGGCTGACCTTCAACCGCAGCCAACAGCACACCTGTGCCATGACAACCCCCATCCCGTCATGATGGTGATTAAAGGTTATTAAACCTGACCAGCCCTCCGGAGCACGGAAACTTATTTCCATAGGACACACCAACGTGTGATCATTTTAAAAACGTGGACTTTATTGGTTTGTTGCACCTCAGCTCTGCAGAGAGAAACGGATCTCTGCTCAGAGCCCACCGGGGCACTTTACACGGATGCCGTTATTTGATTTAAGCGGTTAATACTGCCAAAAAAATTTAGAATCATTTACTTGTAAAACCGCAAGGAAATGTTTTATGCGTCGTCTCTTATTCAGAGTCCGGGGATTCGTTTGGGGACATTCATGTCTCGGCTTTGGCACAAAATGAATGTTCACAAATATTGGAAAACCAAACCGTGTATAGATTCCCTTTGATCCTTGTTGGATATGATGGGGGGGTTTTCTCCATCAGTGGACTACGACTCGTATTCCTCTCCATGTGCCCTCACAGCAGGATTTGTTCAAACTTCACCTCTCTGGCTCAGTTACTCCGGGCTGAAGTACCGACCTTGAATGGAGACATCCAACCGCGCCCCTCCCGTGACTCTTGAGGGTTCTGCCGCATTGCCTGTCAATCATGTTCTGAGCTCTTGGTAGGGTGGGGGAGTTGGGGCTCTATTGATTTGTATCTGTCTAGAGGAAATGCTGTCAACGGGGCTTTTAGCTTTATTTAACAAACGTCACGCATCCGCCCAGCTGGGCCCCCGACCGGCTTCCCTCCACCGGGACACATGGAGGTTCAACTGCGTCCCTCGAGGACACCTAGACAGCAGTTGCTGAGGGAAGACGCACGGTTACACTTTTCCGCTTTCACGTCTCAGACTGAAAAACACTCACACTCACCCAGGGGCAAATGAAGAGAAGAGCATCTTTATTTTAGGCGCATGGGGGGGGGGCCGTTAACCACGGAGCAGGTGAATGGGTAGCGACTAGCTGTAATCCCTCATTGATCCGAGCTATCGAACGCTCTTCAGGCTCGAAGGGGAAGGAGCGCGTTGGAGAGTGTTTGGGCCGGAGGACAACTAGGAGATGGATTCTTTCCGTGCGCGCCAATCAATCTCAGGAAGGTTTCTCTGTTGTTTTGCTGTAGAGACGATCACAGGGAATTAAGCTCCACTGATCGGGATCAGCTAGTTGTTTCGGATCTGGGAGTTTTGCATAAAAATGCAAATGGAATCACTTAACAATAATGAGCCATGTGTCTTTCAGCCCCATCAAAGCCAAGATTATCTC